TCTCTCTCTCTCTCTCTCTTCCCCCCACGCTCCCCCTCCATCACCACACCCCCACAGGCTCTGTAGTGGTTTGCCAGCAACAGACGGGTACGGAAACTTGGGGGCACCATCTGCCAAACTCCCCCCCCCCCCCACCACCACCCCCACCCCTATCCCCGCCAGAGGCCATTCCTCATGTGTGAGCAGAGGCTTATGTGTCAGCCTGACTCAGTCGCTCTGAGACAGAAGGTTGTGCGTTCAAACCCCATGTTGGGGACTCTGAGCTCACAGTCTAAGCTGACCCTCCAGTGTAGTCGTTGGGGGGTGGGGGTGCGGGGGGAGAGTGGGGGTGAGCGGGAGGGGGAGAGGAGTGCGCTCCACATTGTCGGAGGTACCTTCGGGTGAGATGTTAAAACAAAGCCTCGTCCAGACGTTTTGGAACAGTGGGAAAAGATCTGGGGAAATAGGATTAGAGAGTAGAGGGCTCCAGTGGGGGAGCGAGCCCCAGCACGGACACGATGGGGGGGGGGGGGTGGAGAAAGAGAGCAGGGAATGGGGTTAGAGTAGAGGGCTCCAGTGGGGGAGCGAGCCCCAGCACGGACACGATGGGGGGGGAGAGAGAGAGAGAGAGAGCAGGGAATGGGGTTAGAGTAGAGGGCTCCAGTGGGGGAGCGAGCCCCAGCACAGACACGATGGGGGGGGAGAGAGAGAGAGAGAGAGAGCAGGGAATGGGGTTAGAGTACAGGGCTCCAGTGGGAGAGCGAGCCCCAGCACAGACACGATATGGGGGGGGGAGAGAGAGAGAGAGCAGGGAATGGGGTTAGAGTACAGGGCTCCAGTGGGAGAGCGAGCACCAGCACGGACACGATGGGGGGGGGGGGGGGAGAGAGAGAGAGAGCAGGGAATGGGGTTAGAGTAGAGGGCTCCAGTGGGGGAGCGAGCCCCAGAACGGACACGATGGGGGGAGAGAGAGAGAGAGAGAGCAGGGAATGGGGTTAGAGTAGAGGGCTCCAGTGGGGGAGCGAGCCCCAGCACAGACACGATGGGGGGGGGAGAGAGAGAGAGAGAGAGAGAGAGAGCAGGGAATGGGGTTAGAGTAGAGGGCTCCAGTGGGGGAGCGAGCCCCAGCACGGACACGATGGGGGGGGGAGAGAGAGAGAGAGAGAGAGAGCAGGGAATGGGGTTAGAGTAGAGGGCTCCAGTGGGGGAGCGAGCCCCAGCACGGACACGATGGGGGGGGGAGAGAGAGAGAGAGAGAGAGAGAGAGCGCAGGGAATGGGGTAAGAGTAGCGAGTTGTTCCGAGGCCTGTGATGGATTTACTGTGGCTCGTCTAATTTCCATGGATATTTGAGGTCCTGGTGAAATGTAATACAATGTAAATCGGGCCCCGTCTGGCAGCTGTGTTGTTTGCTGCCTAAATTAGATTTACAGATTGTTATTGAGCGATGTGGAGCTCAGGTTTGACGTTTATTAATCTTGGGAACAGAGGGCCTTGGATCACACCTATTAATGTGCTTTTGTAAAGCGTATTGAGAGGAGATTTACCACACGCTGAGCAGCGTCACTGAGCAATGGTGGGAGCGGGCTTGGAACCGGCAGCTTTGGACGTAAGGAGTTCCCAAAGCTCTCTATCTACTCTGTTGACAGACTGATCCATTAACAGAAATAATTATCGTCAAGATCTCCATTATTCCAGCAGGCGACGACCAGGGTGGGAGAAGGTCGACTTGATGGACAGTGGTCTTTTTTCAGCAATTGAATCCGTGCAATGTGCCCCCCATCACATTCCCCCCTCCCACCCCCCCACCCCCCACAGTACTGCACTGGAAAGTCAGCCCAGACTGTGAAGGTGGGTGTCTTTATGACCGCGGCACTGACAGAGCTCGGAGAAATGCATTCACTCCAAAACCCCCACCCCAACCACATCCTCCACTCCTCCCCCCCCCCTCCCCCAAAGTGCGTGCCAGAGAATCGCCATCAAGTGCGTGGTGACTGTGTCTTTGTGGCCCAACTTGTCACTCAGCCAGGAGGTGGAGTGATTAATCTGGGGGGGAGTGGAGGGGGGGGTGGAATTTGGTCACTCAATCCACGCCTGTTTGCGGGACACTGCTGTGTGCAATTGGCTGCCGTGTTTCGCCCACAAAATATAGTCAATCCACTTATTATTTACAGTATATTCTGTGAAGCGATTTGAGAAGTCTCAACGACCTGCTAAGACGCTGTATTAAATGCAAGGATTATTATTATTATTGTTGTTGTCAGCCTGAGACACTGGGGGAGGGAGAGAAACTCCATTCCCTTTTCCAGTATTTGGTTAACGTCCACCTGAACCGGGCGACCGCTAGACAGAGAGCTCGATTTAACGGCTCATCCAAAGGACGGTGTCTCTGACAATGCAGTGCTCTTGTCCCTCCCTCACCGCCCCCAGTACCGCACTGGAACATCAGCCTAGAGGGGTGAGGATGGGGTGGGGGCTCGAACCCATCTGCGTCTTTGTGAGTGAGGCTTAGCCCCTCTAACAGGCTTTCGATCTTGTTGTGTAAGATCAGAGGTCAGCCCAGTTGAGCGAGTAAGCGAGTAATTGACAAAGTGAGCAGCAATTAGCATCAGTCTGCGTGCGCGCGTGTGTGTGTGTGTCTCCTGCTAATGACACTAATGAGCTGAGCCCATTACGCAGTGAGTTAGTGTTAAAAATTAACTTCAGAGTTTTTTCTTACGCTCGTAATAATAATTGCGTATTACATTACGAACCAAGGCACGGACGCAACTCCTAATTCAAAGCCAATTCGTTTCCCTCCCCGGCTCCCTCCCCCCTTCCCATTCCCCCCCCACCCCAACCCCCCCCACCTCCCCCCCGCACACTTCGCCACGCTCACCTACAAAATACACAGTCACTCCGCTTTACAGCGAAAGATTTCCGAGAAGCGTTCGGAGGCATCTTGACGACGTGATAAGATTCTGGATCAAACGCAATAATTATTGTCATTGTTATAACCGCTGACTGGGTTGACTCCAATTTTCTGCCTGGTGACAATTACGGGCACCCACGTTTTTAATTCCCCTCTCCACTCCCCCACCATCCCCCACCCCCTCGTGTTTTAAAATCTATTTAGAAGAAGCCCTGAAAGCCAAAGTCCGCCATTATGTTGTTGCTCTTTCGTTCCTTCCTCCATAAACCCGCTCGGACTTTGATTCCGGAGTCAGTCAGTGACACGATCAGCAGCGATGTCAGGTTAGTGAGATGCTGTGGGAGCTCGCATGTCTTGTTTGATTTTGCGGAGGGGGAATGGAGAGGGTGAGTGGGGAGGGGGGTGGGAGAGAGTGGGGGGGAGTGCGGTGGGGGAGGGGGGAAGTCACGCGGTTGGAGGGAGAGGGAAGAGAACTCGCCATAAGCTCCTCTCGGGAGATATACAGAAGGAACCTGCCTTTTTCTGTTAAAACTCTTGGTGTGTTCGCTCTTATCTCGCTCGGAGTTCTACTTAATCCCCCCGGTGTACTTATCAGCCCAGCTCAGCCGCTCGGGCTCTCTCTCCTCTCAAGTCGGGAGGGTTGTGGGTTCGAGCCCCCGCCTGTCAGCGAGTTTGAACGCACGCAGTGTGGGCTGACGCTCCCGGGGCAGTGCGGCAGGGAGCGATGCATTTTCGGAGGCGCCGTTCTTCGGATGAGACGTTTAAACCCTTGTTAAAAATCGGTCACTCACTTCGGGGCTGGTTGCGGGACATGGCTGCGCGTAAAAGTGACTGCGGCCGTCGCCTTCAGAATATCCAGTCACTACACTCTACAGTGAAATCCTGCGAAGCACTTTGAGTCTTCCCTGGTATGAAAGGGGCTGCATCAAATGGAAGGGCTGATGTTAGCCTCTCTCTCCTCCTCCCAACCAGTACTTTGCTCATATTCTGTTCACACTTGTGTGTATCAGCCCGTCTCAGTGGGTAGCGCTCTCTCTCTCACCCCCGCCTCGGGACTTGGAATCACATCGTCTAAGATGATGTTCCAATGCAGCCCTGGGGTGGGGTGGGGGGGGGGGGTGTGCCGTTGTCGGAGGTGTCATTGAGACATTAAACTGAGGCCCATCTGCCTGTTCAGGTGGATGTTAAAGATCCCAAATCGCTGTTCACAAAGAGAAGGGAGTTTCTCTCTCCCGGTGTCCTGGCCAATAGTTCCCCCAAATAAAATTGAATCATGACTGTCTGTGGGACGCTGCTGTGCGCAAACTGTCTGTTAACGTTTCACCCGCAAAATATACAGTCACTAGACTTTACAGGATATCCTCCGAAGCGCTTTGAGACGTCTCAATGACGTGCTAAGGCGCTGTATCAAATGCAAGGATTATTAATTGCTATTATTTGTTTCCGTTCGGTAGAAAAGTCTAAACGTGCAGTATTTGGGGGCGGGTGGGGTGGGGTTGGGTGGGGGGGGAGGAAGTTGTGAGGTTCGGACGTCTTTTACAGAATTGTTTGCTGTTTCCCGGTCGGTCTGTGTTGGCCATTATTTGGACAGCGAAGATCACAAGTAAATAAATAAACCGTGGCTTTGCAGCAGAGGGTGGTTAACGGCTGGAGCACGGCTCAGTTAGGGAACATTTATCTCAGTTGCTGGATGGTGGTGTGAGTAGAGAGTGATGCGGGGGTGAGGGGGGGGAAAACATAGGAACAGGAGGAGGCCATTCAGCCCCTTGAGCCTGTTCCACAATTCTCTAATATCCGGGCTGATCTGTATCTCAATTCCAATGATCCGCCTTTGCCCCATATCCCTCGATCCCCAAACATCTCTCCACCTCAGTCTTGAAAAGATGAATAGATCCAGCCATAATCCACAGCCTTTTGGGGGAGGGGGAGAGTTCCAGATTCCGGTGGTGGGGGCTGGTGGTGGGGGGGGGGGGGGGGGCGGGTGACGAGGAGAGAATAAGGAAGTGGAAGAGCTTAGAAGTCACGTTCTGGAACAGCAGCAATGGGAATAAATGACCAGGAGTTATAGATAACAAGGTGAAACTTTAACCGAGGTGGGGGGGGTGGGGGGGGAACGGAAGGGGGTGGGGTGAGAGATGATGAGGAGATGATGGTAGAGAGCCATGGGGCGCGCAATGATCAGTGCTTCGGCTCTCAGTTTTGCTTGGTTCGGGCCAGGTTTCATTTGACTCCCAACAGACGAGGAGGCAGGAGGACAACGGAGAGGTTGTGCAGCGAGGCTCAGTTTCTGACAACATTTGCATGTATCAAAGGTTGATCTGTGGTAGCAGCAGTAACGGAACGAGCACGGCAGTTACACGTAAGAGAAAGAGCAACACATGATTGAACGAGCGGCCTTTGTATGTGTGTGGGATGAGCGGGAGGGTGGTGGGGGTGAGGGCGGGGGGGAAAAACGGGTGATTCGCAAGGTGTTAGGTGTTTGCGCTGAGGTGCTACGTGTGTAGCACGTTGCTACACAGCTACTCAGTGCTGAAGAGGACGGGGAAACTCTCCCTACTCCCGGAGCGAGAGGAACCGGGTTCGATTCTCAGGCAGGACGAAATCTCAGGCAAGTTTCCTTACTCCGCGCACATGCCTCTGTTTACCAGCAGCAAGTGAACCCGCTTGCGAGGCGCTTGGCGGATCGCTTTCCGGAGGCAATAACCCCACGACCGTTTGTGGGACGCCGCTGTGCGCAATTGGCTGCCGCGTTTCACCCCGAAATACCCAGTCAATCCACTTTACAGCGGGTCCTGTGGAGCGCTTTGAGATGCTTTGACGACACAATAAGGTGCTGTATCAAACGCAAGGATTATTACTATCGCTGGCTTCACTCCGCAAGTGACTGAAACCAACCTGGGGGTGGGGGGGGGTTCAGTGGATCCTGTTCGACTATATATTTGGTCATCCTCCCACCGTGCCCCCCCGCTCCCCCCCACAGCACATCCCAACACACAGCTCAGGTGCAAACCTTTGACCATCCAGCACCTTGGGACGTCCTCCTGACAGGCGAGGACGCAGGGTAAATGGAATGTGTTGTTGTATCACTTAACGCCTCGCTCTCCAGATGGGGGTGTGCGGTGTTTGTCTGGACCTTGAACTTCATCCCTGTTTGCCAACGTTTCCAGCCTCTCGTGCAGATGTTGTGAATTCTTCCATCGAATCCAGACCAAACAGTTTTGTCCCTGAACTAACATTTGCGTTGGTGGTGGTGGTGATGTGAGGTTCGGGCGATGCAAACAGCTGACTGAACGTGAAGCAGAGCAGTTTTGTGTTTTATATTTATATCTGTACATTTACAGGGTGACCAAAAAGTCATGATAACTACCCATTGTCTAAAAAAATATATAATTTCTTTAAGACTTAATAAGACATTGCAATGCTATCACAACTTTTTGGTCACCCCATATATAACCATCTCTGGTCCTGTTATTACTGTTGATGGGTTTGTAAAACACGCTCAGACCCCACTTATGTTGTCTCGCTTTGTAGGGTGAGGGGGCAATGTTTAGTGACGTACGAGTAATAATAATAATCCTTGCATTTGATATAGCGCCTTATCACGTCATTGAGATGTCTCAAAGCGCTTCACAGAATATACTGTAAACTGAAGTGACTGTATTTTGTGGGCGAAACGCAGCAGCCAATTAAACACAGCAGCGTCCCACAAACAGTCGTGGACTGAAGGGATTATTCTCCTGAAAGTGATCCGCCAATCGACTAACAACTGGGTTCCTACTTACTGTTGGGTGAACAGAGACGTGTGGAGTGAGGAAACTTGCCCAACATTTCGCCCTGATGGGAATCGAACCCAGGTCCTCTCGCTTGCGAGGCGAGTGCTCTAACCACTCAGCTACAGGACTCCACATGGGATGTCCTCGCACATACACACTCACATACACCCACACCCACACACCCACACACACTTCACGGCCTTGACACTGCCTTGGATTACTGGTGACTGGTATCAGGGAAAGCAAAAGAAACCAGACAAAATGCGTATTAATCTGGCTCGCGACCTTCAGAACGAGCTCGTCTCTGCCAGCAGAGAGCGAATGAGTGAGTTCCTAACGGCTTGTCTCTCTCCCTCTCTCTCTCTCTCTCTTCCCCCCACCTTCTCCCCTTCCCCCCCCACCCCCCCTCTTTCCACAGGCCTGGGCAGCAGTGAGTGAGATGTGCTCTCGGGGTTAGACTGCGGTGCCTCTCGTGACGGAGCAGTTATAAATGACCCTGGGCTGGCTGCGTCTGCACAGCGTGTGAGGGAGACACCAGAATGTCCACAGAGACCGAGCTGCAGCAGGTCTTGAAAACCAACACGAGAAAGGAGTTCAAAAAAAAGGGTAGGCTCCATCTGTCCGTTTTCTCTCTCTCTCTCTCTCTCTTTCTCTCTCTCTCTCTCGCTCGGTCGCCAGATCGAAGGTCACGCTGGGCTGACCACCCCCCAACCCTCCCCCCCCCACAAAGGTCGGACCCAGTTATCCGTTCAGCCCGGCTCGGGCCTCGCGGGTCAGAAGGTTGTGGGTTCGCACTGATGTTGGGGTCTTAAGAGCTCACGGTCCAGGCTGATGCTCCAGTGCAACACTGGAGGGGGAGAGAGAGAGAGAGAGAGCGTCATCATTGTCGGAGGCATTAAATCTCACTCACTCCCCGTCCATGTTCAGTTAAACTTCTCCTGTTGGAAAAGAGAGGAGACATACTCTCTCTCCCTCTCTCTCTCTCTCTCTCTCCCAGTTTCCCGGTCGAGAATGCCCCCCCACTTCACGTCAGGTCATGGCTGTTTGCGGGGACGTCGCTGGGCGAAAATGGGCTGTCGCGTTTGCCCACAGAACGCGCAGTCACTACACTTAACAGCAAAGCCCGAGACGTGTTTTGAGACCTCTGCGTGGCCGGAAAATCTCCCGTGGCGTTCCCAGAAAAACGTCAACACTCAACGTGGTTGGACGAGTCGATAGTCACGGCACGACCGACAGGAAGCATTGCTGTCTAACCCGGGCCCCCTGACCGAGTTGGATTAGCTGACAAATGTCTCCGCTCTGCAGACTGAGCTGTGTTTTACAGCACACGTGGGGTGTTAAACCATTAAATAGGATTTTAATTTCATGACTGAGAGACTCGGAAAAGCAGCAAAAGGGGCTGACGTAAGCCACGCAGTGGGTGGGGGGGGGTGGGGGGCGGCTGGTGGGTGCATCACCCGCAGACGCCGCTCACAATTAATGTCTCCGTGATGTCTTTGCTCTTGTCAATGCCGGAAATGTTGCCTTTGCGTCATTATGTTTTGCTTTAAGGTGCAAATCAATTATCATCCTCAATTATCCCCTCTCACAGCCGTTCTCAGCAACTCAACAGTCCTCGCATCTTTTACTGTTAGGTGTAGCAACTGTGTGTTCTGCGGGCGAATGCAACAGCCCATTTGCGCACAGCGACATCCCTTTTCCCTTCGTCGGAACATCTCAAAACCGCTCGCAGAGATTTTCCATCAAGTGCAATGACTGTGAATGGAATCAGCAATTTGCACACAGCGAAGTCCCCCAAACAGCTATGCAGTGAATGAGCGATTGGACAACATGGGGAGAGAGAGCAGGGAGTGGGTTTAGAGGAGAGAGCTCCAGTGGGGGAGCGAGCCCCAGCACAGACACGATGGGGAGAGAGAGAGAGAGAGAGAGAGCAGGGAGTGGGTTTAGAGGAGAGAGCTCCAGTGGGGGAGCGAGCCCCAGCACAGACACGATGGGGAGAGAGAGAGAGAGAGAGAGCAGGGAGTGGGTTTAGAGGAGAGAGCTCCAGTGGGGGAGCGAGCCCCAGCACAGACACGATGGGGAGAGAGAGAGAGAGAGAGAGAGAGAGCAGGGAGTGGGTTTAGAGGAGAGAGCTCCAGTGGGGGAGCGAGCCCCAGCACAGACACGATGGGCCGAATGGCCTCATGTGCTATAAACAGACTATGACGTTCCTCATTCTGTGTGTGTGTGTGTGTGTGGTGGGTGGGGAGTGGGGGAAGATGGGGGGATTTGTAATTAATTGGGTTGGTTTGACCAGTTTCTAATGGCATAGATTGTTCAAAACAATTGACATTTGTATAGCGCCTTTCACATCGGGAAGACGTCCCAAAGCCACTGAAATGATCCTTGAATTTTGTCTGGAAGTGAAGTGATGGATGTGTAAGCACTTCTGTGCTAATTGAGTGCGTTCATGTCCATTCAGTCTCGTTTCCCCGAGCCTGGCTTGCTCTGCATTTCATTGACTCCATGACTCTCTCCGCCAATTCTTAGCTGCTTAACAGCAGCAGCTAATGAGCAATCTTTATGCTGCGTGGAGTCCTGTAGGGCTCAGTAGTTAGCGCACTCGCCTCGCAAACGAGGGGAACCTGGGTTCGGTTCCCGGTTGGGTCAGGGCGAAGCCTTAGGCAAGTTTCCTCACTCCGCACACCCACCCGCCTCTGTTTACCCAGCAGTAACCCGGGAACCCGGTTGTTAGTCGATCCAGGGGTAATAAACCCTTCCAAAAAAATTGGGTCACCCCGGTACAAGCATCAACAGGCGTACACGTATATATATACACACACAGACACACACGCAGGCTCACTAGCCCAGCACCGCTGAGGGTAATTATTCTGCTCCTGTCGCTCTCCTGTGTGGTGGGTATCAGCTGACTGAGAAAAATCACAAAAGGGAACAAAATTTCATTTGATTTTTTTTCCCGTGGATTTCTTTTACGAAGGTTAATGAGTGCAATACTCCCCCCACCCCACCCCGCCCCCCCCTCCCTCCCTCCCTTTCTCTCTCTGTCTCTCTCTCTCTCTCTCTCTTCCCCCCCCCACTCTGTGAGAATGAGGCGAGCAGCCTCGCACAGAAACTGGGTCACCATCGCAGAACTTCTTTTAATTTTTATTCGCCGCGTCGTATTGTGTCGGCTCGGAGCGAGCAGCCAGCTCGGGAGGAATGTTCGTCCTGTCCCTGACGCCGTGACAGCGACCGTTAAAGCCCCCCCCACCCCCAACCCCCCCCCTCTCTCCTCCTCCCCCCTCTCCTCCCCACCCCCGTCGAACGGAGGCGGGTGGGGGACCTCCGGCTTAACGCCTCTCTCCCCACAATGCAGTGGACACCACGCCGGAGTGGGAGCCTTCACTGTGAGTCGGCAGGTACTGGGGGCAGTCAGCGGAGAATTGTCTTTGTCTGATCAGCTGGAAAGGGACGTCCTGCTGTGTGTTTTTTTTCTCTTGGTTGCGCTCAGGTTATTATTATTAATAATAAGGTACAATGACAATCCTAAGCTTTGCGGTTGATGCTGCGCCTTGCGGGTCGGTGTCAGGAAGGCGTCTACTTCGCAGGGTCTTACCGTAAAGTGCGACGGGCTCTGCAAACAGCCGTGGGGTGAATGAGAGATTTTATCTGTTGGGGTGGGGGGGAGGTTTGGGAGAGTTTTGTGTCATGTCCTTTGTCACGGGATTTTACTGTCAAGCGAAGCGGCTGTGGTATTTGTGGCCAATTTGCTCCCCACCACTCTCCGCCAACGGCCGCGAAGTGAGCGACCGGTTTCGATATATTGCGCTTTTTTTTTTATCCGACCATAAATCCTCGGATCCCGATGTCTCTCTGGCCTTTGTGATCAAACCGGATTGACTCGTGGCCGGGGTTATTGCCAATGAGATTCCGGAGCAAGAAAAACAGGATTTCGGAAGAATAATAATAATAATAATAACAATAATAATGCTTATGTTTGATACAGCGCCTTATCACGTCTTCAAGACGTCTCAAAGCGCTTCACAGGATACACTGTAAAGTATAGTGACTGTATTTTGTGGGCGAAACACAGCAGCACAGAAATACACAGATTGAGTACCCAAATAATAATTATTATTATTATTATTATTTTTTTCTTGGCTGAAGCCGGTCCCTGTCGGGCTTATCAGACCATCTCGGTCACGCTCGCTCTTTCTCTCTCTTTCTCTCTCTCCCACCCCGCTCCCACCCCCACCCCCACAACCTTGCTCTGTGGTTCCTGTTTCTCTCCCTGCTTTGGGAATTCTAGCTCCGCTCCATTCCGACCCCACGCCATTGGGGAATGGGAATCCTGGAGCGCCGGGATCCTGGCTTTCCCGGAAGCTTCTCCCGCTCGGATTGCTCGCTGATGAACGCTGTTCGCACTTGCCCCATATACGACCACACGACACAATAAATCTCTCGCTTGAAGCCTCCGAGTAGCTCATTAATCACTTGCGTCTCATCTGCCTTCTCTCTGGCTGGAAGGCTTTGCCTCATTCCCCCCTCCCTCCCCTCCTCCTCCTCCCCCCCCCTGCTTCCCCCCCCCCCCCCCCCCCCCTCCTCCCCGCTCATTTGGCCTCCCTTATCTCTGAGGGTTTGAGGGTTCCCCTTTGCACTGAGCCAGAGATTGATTGAGAAAGCTGGGCTACAAGTTTCACTCTGCTGTGTGGCTCGGATCAATGTTATCTCCCCGTCAGCCTTAGACCTGCCCAGATGCTATTTGCCATGGGACCTGCCTTGCAACTGGGCCAATTTATATGACTGATGTATTGGGTTGCTGGAGCAGATGTCAGCGTCCTCGCCTCTGAGTTCCAGCCCCCCCCCCCCCCCGCGTCAGGGACTTTGAGCCCTTACAATCTAGCGCAGCGCTGGGGGTGCACCTCACTGTCGGAGGTGCCGTCCTTTGGGTGAGACGTTAAAGCCTGTGCCCTGTCAAGTGGACGTTAACAATCCTGTAGCGCTATTGCAAGAGAGATGGGAGTTTCTCTGTGTGTGTGTGTGTCCTGGCCGACAATCCACCCCCCCACCACGCCCCCCCTCTCCGATAGAGCCGCTCATTGGTTTCACGGCTGTTTGAGGGTAACGTCGCTGTGTGCAAATTGGTTGCCACGTTTGCCTCTAAGCACAAACACGACAAACAGTCACTGCACTTTACAGCACGTCCCGTGAAAGCGTTTTGAGGCGTCTCGAAGATGTGACAAGGCGCGGTATCGAACGCGACGGCTATTATTACGATAATTAATATTACAGTAACGACAAATCAGTCGTCTCAAGTCGCCGCGTGTTTTGTTTGTTTGTTGACTTGTTTGTTTGCGATTCCCAGTCAAGCTCTGTGTGGTTTTCGTGTCTCCTTCAAAGGATTTTCAACTCTTTACACCCCCCCCCACACACACACACACCCCCCTCCGCAAATGTCACCACTGCTCTGCTGCCGTTGGTCTTATCAGCGGAGGACAGTTGGTTGCGAAGCTGTAATAAACTGGAGCGAAAGCTTCTCGCAGGCTGGGAGCTGGTACGCGCAGCTCTCACTGTACACTCTCGTTACCTGCCTCTAACACAGCCTCGCGACTCAATGATCAGTCCCAGTCTCTAACGGGGGACTGAGTCCCTCCGCTCCGCTCTGGGTGTTTTGCGGGTGAAACGCAGCAGCCAGTTCGCGCACCGCGACGTCCCCGCAATCAGACGTGAAGCAAGTGACCCAGTTTTATCTGGGTGGGTGATTGTCAGCCAGGACACTGGGGTTGGTGGGGGTGGGGGGGGAGAGAGAGAGAGAGAGAGAGAGAGAGAGAGAAAAAGTCCCTTCTCTTTCAAAAATAGCATCACAGGATCTTTAACGTCCACCTGAACCGGGTTCAGACGAGGAGTGAGTGAGGTTTAGCAGCTCGTGTCTTAAGGACGGAATCTCTGACAATGCGGCTCTCTCTCTCTCTCTCTCTCTCTCTCTATCTCTCTCTCCACTGGAGCGTCAGTCTGGACTGTGAGCTTAGAGTCCTAAACCCGGTGGGGCTCGAACCCAAACCCAGGCTGAGGTACTGGTCACCCACTGCGTGTGATCGAGGTGGGGTCCTGATGGGAGTTTTTCTGTGCTTGGTTTCCAGGTCACAATCGGAGCGAAGCTGGACTGATCAAGCGGTTTAAAGGCGATGGAATCCGGTACAAGGCCAAGCTGATCGGTCTGGACGAGGTGACGGCCGCCAGGGGGGACAAGCTGTGTCAGGATTCCATGATGAAACTCAAGGTAATTTCACAGCCTGTCCGAGGACAACAGCAGCAGCGCCTCTCACGTCGGGAGGGAGGACGCCCCAAGGCGTTGGACAGTCAGGGATTTGGACCCGAGCTGGGGGATGGGATCAGGAGGGGTTGGAGGGCGGGGAGGGTGGGGTGGGCGGGGGAAGGGTGGGGTAGGAGGGTGACCGGAGGCGCGGTTGGTCGAAGAGGAGGGTCTTGAGATGGGCCTTGAAGGAGGCGAGGGAGGGAGCGAGGCAGAGGGACTGTGGGATGGAGTTCCAAAGGATGGAGACCCATCAACAACAACAGCAACAGAAGAATTACATTTGTGTTGTGCCTTTCGCGTCGGGAGAGAGGACGTCCCAAGGCGCTGAGTAGAGAAAGACACCATTTGTCCGTGCTGGCTCAAACTTTGCTGCGCCGCCCGAGAATTGGGTATGTCCTGTGAAGCGCTTTGAGACGTCTCAACCACGTGATAGGCCGCTGTGCCAAATGTAAAGGATCATTATTATTATGAAATGATAATTTAGTCACTCCGTCGACGAGTGCCGAGCGCAATTGGCTGCCACGTTTCGCCCGCAAAACACCCAGTCACAACGCAAGAACATAATAAAACGCGAGACGAAAAAACTGCTTGACGCTCTGCACTTGCTCCCTGGGACTTCATCCTTGAGTCCCTCCACCTTGCCCCCTTAAACCGCCCCCCCCCAGACCCTTCCCTCCCACACCCTTCTCCCTCGCTCAGCAACTGACCCCAACCCTCCCCCACCACTGCGCATGAGGCGCTATCATAAGATTTTGCTCGACGAAAGAAGACCAACATCCATCCAGTTCACGTTCCACTGTCCTGGCAGTCGCTTGACATGTCGTGTCCCCCAAACTATACACTGTCTCCCCAGATACGAAGGGTGCTGTTGTTGTTGTCGCGGTGGCTTCCTGGTTTGGTGGAAGCCTAAACCCGACGCTGAAACCCCTTCTATATTCGCTATCAATCTCTCACCTCCTCCTCGCTTCCATATTCATCCCTTTTATGTGGTGACGTGGAGGTTCCCATTAATGTTTATGCAGTGAAATCGCACGTCTGATATCCCTGAGAGCACATTCCTGTTCTCCTGCCACTTCCAATTCATTCCGCCTGTCAGCCAACATCCCCCTCTCCCCTCTCCCCCTCTCCCCCCCCCCCGTTTGAGATCTCGTGAACCCGCTTCTTACTTTCTCCCCATTAAATATAAATCTGTTTTACCAGAACTGTGAAAGGCAGTCACGTCTGAAAAGAGGCAGGATTGTGGCGACTAAAAGCACCCTAACATGTCAGCCCGTTTCTCTCCATCTCCTTCTCTCTCTCCTCTCCCTCTCTCGCTCTTTCAGTTCCATCTCATTCTCTCTCTCTCCTCTCTCCTCCTTTCTCCTCCGACCTCTCTCTTCCCCCCAATCTCATTCTCTCTCTCCTCTCCTCTTTCCTCCTCCGCCGTCTCTCTCTCTCTCTCTCCCAACACCGCACTCATTCTCTCTCTCCCCTCCCTCTTTCTCCCTCTCTCTCGCCTACAAAAACACACAGTCACTATACTTGGCGGTAAATCCCACAGAGCGCTTCGAGACACGCTTAGGACGTGAAAGACACACTCGCTCTCTCAAACTGGAAGAATTATTCCTTTACCACCAAACAGGAAACATGAGGGGAGAGGTTTAACGGGAGGATTTATTTGACGATTTCAACCCTTCAGCCATTTATCAGAAGGCAGTGAGTTGGAGCTGTGATCAGTTTATAGAAATATACGCACCCCGTTCCAGTACAGACAGAAACTCACAGAGCAAACTTCCTCTAACTGGGATTTCAGGATAGTTTAATGGAGCTAATCAAAAAAAAAAGGAGTTTTTCTCTCTCTCTCTCTCTCTCTCCGGTGTGTGTCCTGTCTGACAATCCGCCAGATAAAATTGGTCACTCACTCCTTGGCTCTTTGTGGGCAGGTTTCTCTGTGCAAGTTGGCTTCTCCATCCCATCCCATCCCACAGCCCCTTCGCCTCGCTCCCTCCCTCCCCTGCCTCCTTCGAGGCCCGTCTCAAGATCCTCCTCTTCGGGCGCCTTTGGTCACCTTTCTACCCCCTCACCTTCCCTGCCCTCCACCCCCTCCTGATCCCAAACCCCAGCTCAGGTCCAAATCCCTGACTGTCAGCGACTTTTGGGACGTCCTCCCCGACGTGAGAGGCGCTGCGTAAATGCAATGTGTCGTTGTCGCGTTTCGCCCAGAAAATACAGTCACTACACTTTACAGTAATTATCAAGAAACACTCTGAGACGTGATAAGCTCTGTGTGCAATGCAATAATTATCATCATTATTATTATCTTGTGGGCAAAACGGAACGTGGTAACACTACCACCACTGATAATCACACAAATATTATTACTGTAGAGCCAGAGAAGTTATAGCTCTGAAAGATCGTGTCTGTGCGGGGGCTCATTGCCCCACTGGAGCTCTCTACTCTAACCCCATCCCCTGCTCTCTCTCTCCCCATCGTGTCTGTGCTGATGCTCTCTCCCCCACTGGAGCTCTCTACTCTAACCCCATCCCCTGCTCTCTCTCTCTCCCCACATTGTCTGAGCTGGTCCTCTCACCCCCCTCACCCCCCCCACCCGCACCCCCTCACCACCCCTCACCTCCTGTTGCTGAACTTTGAATCCCACTGTCATTAACCCCTGTCTGTTTTTCCCCCTGACAGGGAATCGCAGTGACAGCTCGATCGAAAGGAGAACACAAGCAACGCATCTTCCTCACCATCTCGTTCGGGGGAATCAAGATCTTCGATGAAAAGACTGGAGTGAGTGTGACTGAACATAGCGGTAAACCCAGTGGCTGAAGATTAGACCTCAGCACAGCGTGTGTTAAACATGATCAGTCAGAGGCACATCCTGCGAGTGCCATTGGGAAAAGAGAAGGGAGTTTCTCTCTCTTTCTCTCTCTCTCTCTGACTCTCTCTCTCTATCCTGGTGTCCTGGCCGACAGACAACGTCCCCGGATAAAATTGGTCACTCACTTTCCATGACTCTTTGCGGGACATTCCTGCGTACAAATTGCCTTCTGCGTTCCCGGCAAACAAAACACACAGTCACTACACTTTACAGTATATCCCATGAAGCGCTTGGCACGCCGTGCGTGATAAGGCGCTGTATCGAACGGCAAGGAGTGTTATTACTATTGTATTAATTATTAAAAAAAAGGCCACTCAGTCCACAACTGTTTGCGGGGACGCTGCTGTGCGCAATTGGCTGCCGCATTTCGCCCACAAAATACGCAGTCACTTCACTTTACAGCGTATCATCCGGTGAAGCGCTTTGAGACGTCTCGAAGACGTGATGAGGCGCTGCATCAAATGCCAGGATTATTATTATTTATGTAACGCCTTATCGCATCGTCACAAGATTTTCTCTCATCAAACAGCCGACCGGAATCTTTGCTGTAACCTTTGAGTGCCGTTAAGCAGTGCTTATGCTGGAATGATAGGTGTTATTTTTTCTTCTTTCACTCTCTCCTCCGGTCGGGGAGAGATGCTGATTTCCCTCATGGTTTGTGACTGATCTCAGGCAGCCTATTTATACTTGTCTTCGCTCTCTCTCTCTCTCTCTCTGCCGTCCTGACCTGCTTGTGTCTGAAGGACGAATAGTGCGCTATGCGAGTATGTGTCTGTGCCGGTGTGTCTCTCGCTCACTGAGTGTGTCTGTGTCTGTGTGTCTCTCACTCTGTGAGTGTGTCTGTGCCTGTATGTCTCTCGCTCTCTGAGTGTGTCTGTGTCTATGTGTCCTCTGATGTGACAGGCGCTATACCAATGTAATTTGTTGTGGTTGTATGTGTATGTGAGAGTTTGTGTGTGTTTCTCTGAGTGTGTGCATGTGTGTGTGTTTATTGTGTGTGTGTCCCTCTCCGCGCGTGTGTGTGTCTGTGTATTTGAGTGTTTGTGTGTGTGCGCAGGGGTCTGTGTTTGTGTCTGTATATGTGAGTGTGTGTGTCTCTCTCTCTCTCTCTCTCGTCCCGAGATGGGGGCTTGAACCCAGCAGCTTGTGACTCAGAGGCGAGAGTTCTACCAACTGAGCCAGTCCGCCGCCTCCTTTAAGCTTTAAGCAGCTCTGAAAAGTTCAGTGGCAATTGGGCCGAATGATCGGTCTTTATTTGCAACACGGAGCTGTATTACGTGCGTCTGGTACGTCTCAAAGCGCTTCGCGGGGGTTTTAACCGAAAAGTGTAGTGACTGTGTGTTTTTGTCAGCAAAAGTCTGATGGTGACTAACTAAAGGGGGTTGGTGGCGGAGGAGGAAAGAGAGAGAGAGAGAGAGAGACAAAGAAATGGTGACAAAGAGCTAAGATGAACATTTGTCACTTTACCGGGCCAATAAAATGGTGTTTTAGCCTCAATCCACGGGGGTTGGCACTCGGAGGAACGATTCCACATTGTGCAATAAAATCAATCGCAGTCTGTCAATCTGAGGGCACGCCTGGCACGGGATGGGATTGCTGTTGTCTGCTCCGGAAAAGCTCTCTGAATAATTGCCTGTGGCCAGCGAGCCACAAGCCATCTATTCAGGGAAATTAGAGAGAGAGAGAGAGAGAGAGAGACGGAGAGGTACAGAGAGCGAGAGACAGACAGACAAAGACACATAGAGAGAGAGAGAGACACAGTCTCTCTCTCTCTCTCTCTTCTCGTGTCCAGCAGATAAAATCGTGTCACTTGCTTCACGGCTGTTTGCGGGGACGTTGCTGGCACCACAGTCACTACACTTGAGAGCAGCCCCTCCCTCGTCAATCACTTTGAGACGTTTTCAACGTTCTTGGCGTAACGAAAAGGCAACGCTCGACAACATCGACCTGCCCTTACCCCGCGCCCTTCACGCAAGCTCGCGCCTCGGAGGGTGTAACTACGCCGAGCCGGCGGCGGGGGGAGAGGGGGAGATGACTGCAGAGGAAGGTCTTCGGGTACAGTTTGAAGATGGGGCAAGGAGGGGGCAAGGCAGACGGGTAGAGAGAGAGGCAGAGAGTTCTGTAGGTTGGCGGGTGGGGGTGGGGGTGGGGGGGGGTTGCGGCTGAAAGCTCGACCGACAATGGTGGAGGAGATGAGGGGACAAGTAGAAGGTCGGAGCCAACCGAGAGGGGGTGGGGAGGGAGTTGAGAGACGCTGTAGATAAGGGACTCAGTAATAATGTCTGGTTCTGGTGGGGATATTTCTGCTCCAGACTCTGTTTTCGGACTGTGTCACTTTAAGCTACTTTGCAGACGGAGCTGTCAGTGAATTTAAGTAAGTGTAAATCAACGTTTAATCTGACATTGGTGACAAGCAGCGAAACGATGGAGGGATTAACTGAGAGGAGAGTGAGCTTGGCAGAGCTGGCCTCAGGCTGTTTAATTACCTCTCGCGCCTGCTTTGCTTACCAGTAATGATGGATCCACAGTCCAGGCTGACTCTCCAGCTCAGCGCTGGGGGGGGAGGGAAAGGGTGGGGAGGTGGGAGAGGAAACGCCACAGCTTCGGAGGTGCCGTCCTTCGGATGAGATGTTAAACCTCACTCCCCGTCTGTGCCCTGTTCAGGCGGACGTTAAAGACTCCTCCCCTGCCCCCGCTCCCCGGGGTGGCGCTATTTGCAAAGAGATGGGAGTTTTGAAAAATTAAATGGATGGTTTAATAATAATAATAATCCTCGCATTTGACACAGCGCTTTATCATGTCGTCGAGACGTCTCAAAGCGCTTCACAGGATAATAATAATCCTTGCATTTGATATAGTGCTTTTCACGTCGGGAGGACGTCACAAAGCGCTTCACAGAACACACTGTAAAGTGAATTGACTGTACATTTGTGGGTGAACGCGGCCGCCAATTGCGCACAGCGATGTCCCCACGAACAGTCGTGGGTTGAGTGACAAGAATTCTTTTTTTTTTCTTTGAGGGATTATTACCCCCGGAAAAGCGATCCGCCAATCAACTAACAACCGGGTTCCTACTCACTGATGGGTAACCAGAGGCGTGTGTGCGTGTGTGTGAGGAAACTTGCCTGAGGTTTCTCCCCGCCCGGGAATCGAACCCGGGTCCTCTTGCTCGCGAGGCGAGCGTTCTGACCACTAGGCTATGGGTCTCCGACGGAGACACAGATAGAGGCAGAAAGAGAGACGCAGCGAGGGCCGTGCGATTACAAAGCTGTGCCCATTTTGGTGGCTTCCGAAACATAAATCAGGTCGGGATGGGGGGAGCTGATGTGTTTAGAAATAGGTTGGTAGCAAATGGGAGCTGAGCTGGAGCCAGACAGAGAGAGAGGAAGGGAGGGAGTGAGGCTGCTGTGGGGCAGAGAGGAGCTGAGGTGATTAGCACAGTTCTGAGTGTAGTTGGGACTTGTATCTAGCACACACATACATGAGGGGAGGTGGGGGGAGGGAGAAGGGGGTCTCTCTCTCTCTCTCTCTGCTGAACGCAAAGACAAATTCGTTCACTTGCTAAATATAGACGGCAGGCTGCCTCTGGCCTCAGTCCCCGGTGCCAGGCTTGGCACACCAGAGTCAGCCTGACCCACTTTCCTGATCGATTGCCCGGCATAGAACAAAGGCTGAGTTAATGTGGGACACGGAGCTTGCGGGGGAGTGTGCGCGGGGCGGGGGGGGGGGGGGGTGGGAAGGGATGGAGGGGTGGGTTAAGCGACTGAGCGTTTAAGATCAGGACGCGGGGAATCGTGCAAAAAACAAACACGCACGTAACTCGACTGTCAGCCCGAAAGGAAGTCGAGACAGTGTGGAGACAAGCGGGGTTTGTGCAGTGAAGACGGTCTTCTGATTTGCGCTGTTTCCTTTCAAAAGATTTCTAAGTAGGACAGGAGCAATTAGAGAACTTCTGAGAGAGGAGTGCAATGCGTTCTTTAATGCTTTACATCTCTGATGTTTCCTCTTAAGAAATAGCGCAAACGAAACCCTTATAATTTACTAACGCTCTCTCTCCCCCCCCCCACCCCCAAAATGAGCATTTAATAATCCTGGCTTTTGATACAGCGCCACGTCACGTCCTCGAGACGTCTCGAAGCGCTTCACGGGATACACTGTAAAGTGAATTGACTGAATACTCTGTGGGTGAAACGCAGCAGCCAATTTGCGCGCAGCGACGTCCCAGAAACAGTCATGGATTGAGTGCAATTTCTCTTTCCCAAGTCACTGAGATGTGCAACATTTTCGACCGGATTAAAAGAGTAAAAACCAAATAAAAATGCTTTCGGACGCACCGAGACACAGAGGAAGAGGAAACGGGTTTAGAGTTTGAAAAGGGGGTCATTTCAGGACAAGACACCAGGAAGTGTGTCTTTACCCAGAGGGTAAGACACTGTGTGTTTGTGTTTGTGTGTGGGGGGGTTGGGGTGGGGGTGGCTCTGTGTCTCTAGCGGGTTAGACAGTGTGTGTGTTTGGGGGTGGGGGGGTGTTTCTGTGGCTAACTCTGTGCCGTGTGTGTTGGGCAGGCCATGGAGCATCACCACGCTGTACATGAAGTCTCCTACATCGCCAAGGACATCACTGACCACCGCGCCTTCGGCTACATCTGCGGCAAAGAGGGAAATCACCGGTTTGTGGCCATCAAGACATCGCAAGCTGTGAGTCGGTCCACCCCACCTACCCTATCTCCTCCTCCCCCCAGGCCTCCCCCTCCTCCCCCTCCTCCCCCACCCTTCTCCCCCTAACCCTCCTCTCCTCTCCCCACCCCTCCCCAACCCACCCCTCTCCCTTCTCCCGCACCCATCTCCCCACCCCCTTCTCCCCAACCCCTCTCCTTTCTCCCTAGCTCCACACCGCCTATCTCCCATTCCCCCCCCCCCTCCCTAATGCTAACGGTGTGTGTGTGTGGGGTGGGGGGGGGAGCAGTTTTATGCAGGTGTTGATTTTTTGGAACAGGTAGAAAGTCCTAAACCCAACGTTAGACTGAGAATTGTTCTAAAATTAATGGGAATATCAGGCTTAATAATTAATTACCCAGTTGAACATTTTGTCCTATTTAATCGTCTGCATTGTTCATTACGTGTCGTCAGTTTGGAATGGAAACCAAATTACCTCTTGTGCAATTCACTCTCTCTCTCTCTCTCTCTCTTCCCTCCCCCCCCCACCTTCGCTCTCCCGCTCCATCTCTATACCAACCCCCACCCCACCCCTCTTATTCCCCTCTCCCCCACTCTCTCTTTCCCTCTCTCTCTCTCTACTGTTCCATCTCTATACCATTCCCCCCCCCCCCTTGTCTCCTACCTCTCTTCTCCCTCTCACTCCCCACTCCTCTCTCTCTCGCCCTTCTCTCTCTCTCTCCCCCCTCTCTATCTCCCATTTTCAATCTCCCCCTCCCACCCCACCCATCTCTCCCCCACTCCTCTCTCTCTCTTTCTCCCCACCAGGCCGAGCCTGTGATCCTCGACCTCCGAGACCTTTTCCAGTTGATCTATGAGTTGAAGTTGCGAGAGGACAAGGAGAAGATTGCCCAGAAGGACAAGCAGAGTGAGCAGGCGGTCTATCAGGTACCCTCCCCCACCCCACCCAACCCAACCTCCACCGGACGCACTGACCCACAGAGAACCAGCCCTCCCCAAACCCCCCCCTCCCCTCCACACTTACTCACACACGGTAACGGTGCCATGTGGAGCTCCGTGCTCAAACACCAGGCTGGCACTCCAGCGCAGTGCTGGGGGGGGGGAACAACGCTATATTGTCGGAGATGCCGTCCTTCGGATGAGATGTTAAAACCAAACTGCCCGTCTGTGTCCTGTTCATATGGACGTTAACAATTCCTCTCTCAGTGTCCATTGTTCGTGTGTGTGAGTGTCATCAGTTCCACTCGCCTGTAGAAAGTGCCCCAGCTGACACCCACACACACACCCACAGCCCCTTAGAGGGGCCGAGGAGCAGGAACCCATGCTGGGTTTCCTCACCCTATCCCTGGGAAAGAGGAATACTTGCCCCCCCCCCCGCCGGGCTGAGACCAGCAAACTCAGACCCGCCCGGGATTCGAACCAGCGATCTCCTCCTGGTCTGCAACCTGCAGCTCTGCCACCTACACCGTCTGGGAGTGCTGGCCATCGCTGATAATGGCAATGAAGGAGACAGAGAGAGAGAGACAGAGAGAGAGATTAAGCTGTTTATAACTAGCTGGGTACTGGCTGGCAAGGGGTACAGCCCAGGTGTTTTGGGGGGGGGGTGCGTCAGAGCACCGAGGGGGCTGGTGGAGACAGGGGAGCAATTTGGCCAAATTTGACTTATTTCCACCCGTCCTCCGGTACCCAAAAGGAACAGCGTATCCAGGTGTTCCCCATCGATCATTCGACCACTCTCTCCTCTCTCTCTCGCTGTCTCTCCTCTCTCTCTCCTCTCTCTCTCTACGCAGTGAATTCAGCTTGAGAGAGACCTGGGAAGCAACTGTGCACTTATCTCATTTGAATTATTGAGAGCGTTAATTTAACATAGACCTCGTTTCCCCACCACCTCCCCTCCCCCCTCCCCTCAATTCATCATTAATTCATCATCTCTCCCTCTCTTGTATTTTAATGTGTTTAAGCTGCGTGAATCCTTGGTGCATTTCGTGGGCAAATGGCTGGGAGGTTGCGGTTGGAATGGAAACCTTTGGACCTGTTAATATTGAGGCGGTGGGGAGTGGGGCGAGAGGAGGGGGGCGAGGCGCTTGGGGCGGAGAGGCTGTTGCTCACGCAGCAGTTTCTGACGGCAACAGCGCCCGCCTGAAAAAATACATAGTCACTACACTTTGGAACAAAACTGTGCGGGGAGCATGGCACGGATTTGTGTCTAAAGCGAGGATTATTATTATTCTCATTATTATTGTTATTATTGTTATTAATATTATTATAGCTTAGACATTGCTTTTGAAACACTTACATTTGAGCTACATCGGCCTCAATAGTCACTTTGGTTCACAAATTCCCAAACCCTCAACAACAGACAAAATGCCTTCTTGTCCTCCCCACTTATGTTTCTGCTAACGATCCAGTGCCGTTCCCCCCTTCCCTCCGCAATTACCCCGCCTCCCCCCTCCGCAATTTCCCCACCTCCCCAATTTCCACCCCCTCCACCACCACCACACTCCCCTGCTCGACAGCCTATTGGAATTTTATCTTCAGGGTGTGGGGGAAGGGGGATTGATAAACAGTCTGCTGTGTCTACCAGACGTCCTCTTGAGGTTGTGGAGGTGTATGTGGGGTCGGGGATGGTGGTGGGGTGGGGGGTGGGTCATTAGAAGGGTGTCGCGGAGTGCGGGGTAACTGGTTCCTGAGGAACCCAAGCCTTTGCTGATGTGGTCAGTGAGACTAACCCTCGGCCTCTCAACCCAAATCCCCTGTTGGGTAGAACAAGCTTGGCTTGATTTTGAGACCTTTATGGTCCAAGGCATTGAAAGATCCTTGGACCACAATGAAAGATCTAGCTATTGTAGTCTCTAATGGGGGGAGAACCAGAACAAAGGGGGCATCATCTTAACTAGAGCCAGGCCATTTAGGATTGAAATCAGGAGGTATTTTGTCATATAAAGAGTTGTGGAAATCCGGAACTCTCTCCCTCCCCAGAAGGCCATGGATTTAGGCTGGATCAATTGAAATTTTCAAGACTGAGGTGGAGAGATGTTTGTTAGGTTGGGATATCAGGAGATATGGGGCAAAGGAGGGTAATTGGAGTTAAAGTACAGATCAGCCATGATCTTATAGAATGCCAGAACAGGCTCGAGGGGCTAAATGGCTTCCTCCTGTTGGCCATGTTCCTAAAAAATGTTCCTTCAAATATTTCCCCCCTTGCCTCGTGGGTCTTGAACCCACAACCGTCTCCGCTAGAGGTAAGAGCGCTACGGGTAGAGGCGGCCTGAAGCTTGGTGACGGGCAAGTGAGTGGACCCAGGGAGCTTCTTTTTCCAAACCTCTGCTCTGATTTTCTGAAAATTGCTTCGGAATAATTGCTGCTCTCTTGATTTGCCAATCCTGAAACTTGCTCTTTTTTTTCCCCTTCCCTCTCTCCTCTAACCGTCTCTATCTCTCGCTCTCTCTCTTTGCTCCTTTCTGCTGATTCTCTCTCTCGCTCTCTCTCTCTCTCACACTTCACTTGCTGGACTCGCCCCATTCAGACCATTTTGGAGGAGGATGTGGAGGATCCAGTGTATCAGGTAAACCTGGGAGCCTTCGGCCGAGCCGAGGGGGGGGGGGGGTGCCATTAGGTGGTGCTTTCTTGCATGTCTTGGTAACGTAGTGGTTAGAGCACTCGCCTCGCAAGCGAGAGGACCAGGGTTCAATTCCCGGGCGGAGCAAAACCTTAAACAAGTTTCCTTACTTCACACACACGCCTCTGTTTGCCCAACAGTACGTAGGAACCCAGTTGTTAGTCGATTGGCGGATTACTTTCCGGGGGGGGGGGGGTATAATACTTCTCCAAAAAACGTGGTCACTCAATCAATGACTGTTTGGGGGACATTGCTGTGCGCAATTGGCTGCCACGTTTCACCTACAGAAGACACAGTCACTACACTTTACAATATATTCCGTCAAGCCCTTTGAGATGACTCGACGACTTAATAAGGCTCTGTGTCAAATGCAAGGATTATTATTATTATTATTAAGCAGAAATCTTGCAAGTTAGAGTCCAGTAAAAATGTGTGTTACGTCACCACTTGTGCCTCTGCCACATAGTGAACCTGTTATAAACACCTCATCGTCTCCATGAAACATGGAGCCCAGAGCGCTCTCTTGGCTTTTGTACGTTGTCTGGAGATGGCTGATTATTTGTGGGGGAGGTGGAGGGGTGGGGGGGAGGAAAGAGGGACGGGTGGGGGACTGGATAAACGCTGACAGATTTTAGCACCACCCCCGATAAACACCTGTTGGTTTGTTTGCTGGTCACTCGATTCACGGCAGTTTGCGAGTCACTGCCATGGGCAATTGGCTGCCAAGTTCCGCCCACAAACTGCGCAGTCAATCCACTTTGCAGTATATTCTGTCAGACGTCTCAATAGTGAGATAAGGCGCGATATCAAATGCAGGAATTGTTAGTCAGATCGTTTTATTACTAAACCCCCCCAAAAAAAATCTAAATTAAAAGGCGCTCCAGCAGCGGGAAATTAAAACTCAAAATTCAGCCGGTCATTAAGATGAAAGATGGCGGCAAAACGAACCGAAAGCCACAGAAACCAGAGCTCTCGCCTTTGCCGATCCATCCGGTGACTGTGTGTGACGTCGTGAGCCGCTGCTCTTTGCTCTGGATTTATTTTCTCTTCTTTTGTTTCTTTTCCCCGTGAATCATCTCGTGTTTTCTCCCATCGTTCATTTGTCTTGTGTCCGTCACGCCCTCTCTTTCCCACCCACCCCCCCCCCCCAATTCCCATCTTGTCCCCCCCCCCTCTCTCCCTCTCCCACACCCCCTCATCCGCCATTTCCATCTCCGTCACTCTCTCCCTCCCTCCTGCCATTCGACCTTCCCTCTTTCCATCCTTCCATCATTTCCCCCTTCCACTCTCACTCCCTTCCTCCGCCATTCCCCCCTCCCTCACTCCCCCCACACCGCGCCATTTCCCACCTCACTCCCCTGCCCCCACCATTTTGTCCTCACATTGTCACAGTACATTGTGTTTGAGGCTGGACATGAACCGATCCGTGAAGTGGAGGAGAACATTTACCAGGTACAAACTGTCTGATCTCCTGTGTCCTGTGGGGAGGTGGGGGGAGAGGAGGCATCACCCCTGTGACCAGTCCCCCAACGTCCCCCCCCACAACCATAGTCTATTGCTTAGAATCATACAATCCTACAGCGCAGAAGGAGGCCATTTGGACTATTGTGCCTGTGCCGGCTCTTTGAAAGAGCTACCGACTAGTCCCACTCCCCCCGCTCTTACCCCAACTAGTCCCACTCCCCCCTCTCTTACCCCAACTAGTCCCACTCCCCCTCTCTTACCCCAACTAGTCCCACTCCCCCCGCTCTTACCCCAACTAGTCCCACTCCCCCCTCTTACCCCAACTAGTCCCACTCCCCCACTCTTACCCCAACTAGTCCCACTCCCCCCCGCTCTTACCCCAACTAGTCCCACTCCCCCCGCTCTTACCCCAACTAGTCCCACTCCCCCCCGCTCTTACCCCAACTAGTCCCACTCTCCCTACTCTTACCCCAACTAGTCCCACTCCCCCGCTCTTACCCCAACTAGTCCCACTCTCCCTACTCTTACCCCAACTAGTCCCACTCCCCCCCGCTCTTACCCCAACTAGTCCCACTCTCCCTACTCTTACCCCAACTAGTCCCACTCCCCCGCTCTTACCCCAACTAGTCCCACTCTCCCTACTCTTACCCCAACTAGTCCCACTCCCCCCACTCTTACCCCAACTAGTCCCACTCCCCCCGCTCTTACCCCAACTAGTCCCACTCTCCCTACTCTTACCCCAACTAGTCCCACTCCCCCGCTCTTACCCCAACTAGTCCCACTCCCCCGCTCTTACCCCAATTAGTCCCACTCCCCTACTCTTATCCCGAAGCCTTGGATGTTTTCCTGTTTAAGTACCAGCTGTGTGAACACAAAAGGCGTTATATAAATGTGAATCATATTGTTTGAGTCCTCAGTGCTTTCTGTCAGATGGTTTGACGGTGGGGCAGAGATCGGGGACTGGGTGGGAGTGGGTGAGTGGGGGTGTGGGGGAATTATCTAACGACATCTGTTTGTGTGACCACCCATCCAGGTCCCCACCAGCCAGCAGAAGGAAGGTGTCTATGATGTGCCAAAAAGCCAGCCGGTGAGTGTGCCGAGATCACCGGGGGGTGGGAGGGGGTGGGGGGAAGCCGTGTACCAGTCTAGCCCAATCACCAATCAACCGCATTATTGATCAACACGGTGGCGTGAAGCAATGTCAGGGTTAATCGGCACAGCTTTACCTACCACACGTACACACACACACATACTCTCTATGCCTCATCCATCTGGGTGGTTAAGATGGGTGATGTGTGTGTGGGTGGTGGGGTGGGTGTCTGGGTTGGGGGGGAGTGAGGTAAAGAATAAATTTCCCGGAGGATAAAGCAAGCAGATTGGAATGACGACATTAATCATTAACAACTTCTGACTCAACGCCTTGCATCAGGTGGTGGGAGCGGGTTGGTGGGGGGGAATGGATTGATTGATTGATTGATGGATGGACAGGGGGAACGAGGTTGCAATCAGCGTACGCCACATTCGACACTAATTTGATTTTGATTTTGCACTGTCTAGGAATGATCGGATATCTTTTCCAACGGAGGTTAATTTTTGGGCTTCGGATCAATTGGGTGCGGAGGGCCGGGGGTGGGGGAGGTTGGTGTGTGGGGGTGGGCGTACCCCGAATTACCACTCATTGATTGCCAGACCACCGTTTGGGGAGCTGGGTGTCACGATTAGGCTGTGTTACATGTTAGGCTGCCTTACTGTTACAGAATGGGTGTCTGTTGCTGGACTTTGATGATGATTTCAGTGCCACCGACCAGGTATGTGGCTCTGACTGACACAGGGGAACGGAGACAATTCCGGGGAGGGGGCAGGGAGCTACAAAAGGTATCTTGCTCCCCCGCCCCACCCAACTCCCAATCCCAGCCCGCCTCTGTGTCCCTGCTCTCTCTGCTCCGCCAACTCACTCAGGTCAACTCCTAGACTCTCCCCCCGCAGCCCTCCGCTCCACCATCAGTGGGCGAGCTTTCAGCCGCCCTGCACTTACTCTCTGGAACTCTCTCCTTTCGTCTCTCTGCTTTTCTCCCTTCCTCTCTGCTAACGGAGTCCCGGAGCTCAGTGGTTAGAGCACTCGCCTCGCAAACGAGAGGACCCGGGTTCGATTCCCCAGCCAGAGCGAAATCCGTTCAAAAACAAATAAATAAATAATAATGAAGAATAATTTGGTCACTCAACCCACGACTGTTTGCGGGACACTGTGCGCAATTGGCTGCCACGTTGTCGCCCACAAAATACACAGTCGCTACACTTTACTTATTCTTTGAAGCGCTTCGAGACCAGGGGTGTTGAGGACCTGGGATGAGGGAGTGAGGGGGCGAGGGGTGAGGATAGGGGAGTGACAGTGAGTGATGAACAAAATCAAGCTCACTCCCAATTTAATCAGCCGGCTTGACATGGTCGATGCTCTACGGGGAACAGTCACCATTGATAGAGACACAGCGCCCCCCACAGGAGGGTGTCGGTAGTATGGCCGCCTTTTGCAAGACCGAAACTACAGTGTTAAAAAAGGTTAAGCACAGCAACAACAACTTGCGCTTTTAAAGCCCCTTTTCGCGTAGGATCAGGTCTCAAAGGCCTTTAGCAGAGGGCGGAGTGGAAGTCTTGGGCGGGTGGCTGGGTAGAGAGAGAGAGAGAGGGTGGGAGGGAGGGAGGGAGTTTGACCAAAGTTGTGGTTGGAAGAGATAATCCGCCGGGAAAAGAAGAAAATCAAACGTGTTTTTTTCCATGAAACAATTCTGAATTTTGGAGGGGAGTTTAATTATGGCGGCAAAGATGGCAGCAACTTAATTCCGGATGGCCTCGGCGGGAGGAGGGGGGGAAGTGGGGTGACCCCCCCACCACCACATACTTTGTGGACACTTTCTTTCGATGACAGAATTCTTTCCGGAGAGGGGAACAATTGAGAAGGGAGGGAAATCTGTTCAGGAATACCGCTGTGAGTGAACTCACAACAACAACAACAACAACAACAGCACCTTTCAAGGTCGGGAGGACGTACCAAGGCGCTGGACAGTCAGGGGTTTGCACCCGAGCTGGGGTTTGGGATCAAGAAGGGGGGGGGTGGGGTGGAGGGCAAGGGAGGGTGGTGGGCGAGGGGGCGGGTGGGGAGGTGACCGAAGGAGCGGTCGAAGAGGAGGGTCTGAGAAGGAGGCGAGAGACGGAGGTAGAATTTGGACTCTCATTCCCTCTCGACCCTGTGATGAACCGCTTTGCCTCTTCAAGCTCCTGGAGTGTCGTTCGGTTCGGTGATTTTCTATTAAGACACAAAGGCGTAACTCCGGTTTGCTTTCAATTCCAGACCATTAATCAGCTCGACCTCTTCGGCGACATGTCAACTCCGCCTGATATTACCTCGCCCGGGGTAAGTGCCGTCACCCGGGGAAGATTCCTGGTGCGGCCGAGGGATTCTGTGGCAACGGTTACGGTCCGTCCAACCCGGGCAAAAAGAAGCGAGTGAATTGTTGACAGTCGGTAGCTGTAGCTGTGAGCACTGAGGCACTGAGACGGTGAAGACTGTGGGAGTCCCGTAGCTCAGTGGTTAGAGCACTCGCCTCGCAAGCGAGAGGACCCGGGTTCGATTCCCTCACTCCACACACACCCCTCCGTTTGCCCGGCAGTCAGGAGGAACCCGGGTTGTTAGTCGATTGGCGGATCGCTTTCCGGGGGCACAATAACCTCTTCAAAAAACAATTTAAATAATAATTTGGTCGCTCAATCCGCGGCTGTCTGCGGGACGCTGCCGTGCGCGATTGGCTGCCACGTTTCGCCCACAAAATGCACAGTCACTACACTTCGCAGTGTCTTCTGTGAAGCGCTTTGAGACGTCTCGACGACGTGATGAGGCGCCGTATCAAACGCAAGGATTCTGATTATTATTATTATAAACTCAGACAATCTTCTCAGACGTTCCCAGGAGTCTGTAAAGGGGGTAATTTCAGGAAGTGTTTTCTTACCCTGGGGGGAATTAACGAGTGCAACAGGATGACCGGGAGTTGGGGGGGTGGGGGGGTGAGGGGTGTGGGGGGGGGGGGGGGGTTCAAAATAACACTGCTTGATGCTGAGATGGGAGAGCAGGGATTCTGGGCGGATGAGGTAGTAGATGAAACCCGGCAGCCAATTCGCCCACAGCGATGCCCCACAAACAGTGGTGGAGTCAGCGACCGATTTTATTTGGGGGATTGTCAGTCAGGACACGGAGACAGAGAGAGAGAGAGAGAAAAACTTCCTTTTCTTTTCACTTAGCTTCACGGGAGCTTTAATGTCCACCTCAACAAGCAGACTGGACCTTTAGTATCCCATCTGAAGGGCCTCGCCTCCGACAATGACTGTGTGTGAGGTGTGGTGACTGTGTGTGTGTGGTGCGGTGACTGTGTGTATGAGGTGTAGTGGCTGTGTGTGTGTGTGTGGTGTAGTGACTGTGTGTGTGATGTAGTGATTGTGTGTATGAGGTGTAGTGACTGTATAAATGACTGTGTCTCTTGTGGTGTAGACGCCGGCGTCGCCAGCCAATGCCTTGGGCCCAGATCCGCTATCCGCCCGAGGGATGTGTACTCCGGGCAGACAGGACCTCTTCAGCTCCCCCTCTGTCCCCACAGGTCAGTCTGCCTCATGGGGGCTGAACACAGCCATCAGCCTTCCTCTTCATCATCCCCGCATCCTTCCTCATCCTCCCCCTTCCTTCTTCTCCTCTCTTAACTTCCCATCTCTCTCTCTCTCTCGCTCGTTCGCTCTTCTCCTCTTTCTTCCTCCCTCCCTCTCTCTTCCTCTCTCTCTCTCTCTCTCTCCCTCTTTCTCTCTCTCTTCCTCCTTTCTCTCTCTATGTTCCTCTCTCTCTTCTCTTCCTTTCTAACTTCCCTTCCTCTCTCTTTCGTCCTTTCTCTCTCTTCTCTTCCTATCTCTCTCCCCTCTTCCATTTTTCCACCAAGTTTTTTACGCCACTATTTTTTTGGTGGGGGTGTAGGAGGGGACATCAGTGTGATATCAGCTCAGGTCTATTTGTGGTCAGCCAGGTGTCTGACGTGTGGAAACCCATCATCATGATTAAGAGTCATGAGTCACCCAACTGAGTCACCCAACTGAGAATTCCCTGAATCCCACCTTGATAGATTGTTGGAGTGGATGCGCTCTCTCTCTCTCTCTCTCTCTCTTTCTATACCTGGAGAGGACATCACAGTGGAGTCGGACCATCTACAACCCCGCAGCTGCCCATTGATATCGCTGTCTGGCCATGGCCAAGCTTTCCCGCTCGCTGCGTGTCCAGCCAGGACCACCCTCCCCATTAGGGCTTTGGCTTGAGGTGTTACCAGGAGCTGAGGGGGAGGATTCCCTGCCCCCAGTGACCGGTCGGCCCTTCCAGGTCCTGCCGATGGGCCGGGCCGGGCTGTGCGGTCATCAGCTGTGAGCGTCCTGGAATACTGTGGACCACAGAGGCCGCCACAGAGGCGAGATGCTCTCTCCCCGGCACCCCCCCCACCACCCCTGACCAACCCCAATCTCCCTCCCCCTCCCCCAAAAAATACACAGCAGTTTCGGCCCCAAAAATACACAGTCACTTCACCTCACGGTACATCCTGTGAAGCACTTTGAGATGTCTCAATGACTTTGATAAGGCGCTCTATCAAATGGAAGGATTATTATTATTATTATCGCTAACTCCCGGTGGTTTCCATGCCGACAGGTTACGTGACGATGGGAGCAGTGCCCCCCGGGGTGTGGGCCCAGCAGGCTTCGGGTGGCCCCTCCGTGGCGTGGGGACAGCCCACGCTTTACGCTGTGCAGCAGCCGTGGGCCGGGATGGGCAACCCCTTCCAGCCCGCCGTCTTCCTCCCGCCTCAGGCGCCCATCCCACTACAGACTGCCATGTTCCAAGCGGCCTTGTCGGCGGCCCCTCACCCCAGCCCCCACAGGGGCCTCGCCGCCACCAACGACATGTTCAAGGATTTCCAGATGGTCAAGGGGCCGCCCGTGCCCTCCAGGAAGAGCGAGCACCCATCGCTGGTCTGCACCTCGGACGCCTTCAACACCTACTTCAGCAAAGTGGGCCTGGCCCAGGAAGTGGACGACGCCGACGACTTCGACATCTCGCTGCTCAACCTGACTCCGGCCACGTCCACCTCCACCCCCTCCTCCACTAACTCACGTAGGTACCACTCACTCGCCACGGCTACTGGGACACACTGTGTGTGTGTGTGTGTGTGTCTGTCTGTGTCTATGGTGTGTGCGTTGAGTGTGTGTATGTGTTTGTGTGTGTGTGTTGTGTTTGTGTGTGTGTGTGTGTCTTGACTGTGTGTTTGTCCGTGATTGCGTGTGTATGCATCGTGTCTGGGTGTGTATCTGTGTACATGTGTGTTATTGCGTGTCGGTGGGTCTTTGTTTGTCTGTGTGTCTGTGTGTGTGAAACTGTAATGTGTGTGTTATTGCATATCAATGTGTCTTTATGTAAGTCTTTGTGTCTGTGTTTGTGTGGATGTGTTTGCGTGTGTGTATGTTTGTGTGTGAGACATTGGTTTGCGTGACAATGGGATTTTCTCGGGGCGAGGGGAAGGGGGGTACTCTGTATTTTGTGGGCGAAACGCGGCCAAGAATGTCCCACAAACAGCCATGGAGAGAGTGATCAGTTTTATTTGGGGGGAATTGTCTTGTTGGCTAAGACACTGGGAGAGAGGGTTTGGGGTGGTTGGTGGGCGGGGTTCGGGGGGTGGGTCGGAGGGGGAAAGGGGCAGGGAATGTAGGAACGATGAGTGAGGAGATCAGGGAGCAAAGACCAGGAGGAGGAGGAGGAGGAGGAGGGAGAAGGAAGATGATCTGAGAAGCGACGGGAACTCTTTCTTTGGGTCTCTAACTTTCCGAGGTTCCATTGTGTTCCAGCCCCGACCTCGTCCCCCCACCAGCACACGCCAGTCTCCTCGCCCAGCCACACCACGCCCGCCCAGTCACCACACCGGGCCACGCCTACCAGGTCACCGCCCCCTCCCCCCGCCGAGCCCCGCCTGCAGGAACAACCAGGAGAGGAGCCAGACAACCAAAGCGATCGAGGAGCACGGTCACATGTGAGTCACCCCCAAACACCCGCCTGGACAGGGTCTCGGGAGCGCTTCGCGGTGACGGAGCCTGACCCCGAGTCGGGGGCTAGGAAGGGTGCAGGTCAGGTGGACCGCGGTGACCATGAGCGCGGTCGGAGAGGAAGGTCTTCGGTGGTGACCTGAGAGGGGGGAAGGAGTGGGGTGGGGGCCTGGGGTGGGGGGGGGGGGGGCGGCAAGGCGGAGGGATTTCCGCTCACGTCCGAACACGTGTGCGTCGCGCGCAAACGTGCGAGTCGGTCACCCGTGAACACGGTGCAAACACGGAAGTCTCGGCGCAAACGCAAGCGGGCTCGATCTTGAGCTGTCGCTAATGGGGTTAGAGTAGAGAGCTCCAGTGGGGGAGCGAGCATGCAATTGGGGGGAGGTGGGGGGGGGGTAAAAGCAGGGGATGGGATTAGGGGAATGGTGTGTTGGGGTGCAGTGCGCAGGGGGAGGGGAGTGGGGTGTGGAGGGGTTGTTCAAGTGAGCTGATGCTTTGCTGTATGGATGATGTGACATAATGGAACTGAATCTCTCTCTCCCCCCGTCTCTCCCCCCCACCCCCACAACCCACCCCACCCCACCCGCAGCCTGGCAGTACTGAGGCCTCCCCTCACAGAGAGCCTGATGGCAACTTGCTCGGTGACCCCCTCCCCCCACAGGTCGGTAGCTAGGTAGCACAGGTCGGGGTAGGTATCTGCTTCTCTCTTACTAGGTGTGCACGACCACCTCCCTCCACCTCCACCTCCACCTCCGCTCCACTCACTCCGTCTCCATGGAATGTGGCCTGTCCTCGCCCTCATCACCTCTGTCAGGTCTTGTTGTGAAGAAGTATTTCCATTTGGATTTTTATTATGATTATTATTATTATTATTATTTACATATGTGTCTTGGCTTGCATGACCTTTCATGAGAGCATGGGCTCCCCCCCCCCTCCCTTTCCTCTCCCCTCCCTTCCTGCCCCGGTTCTTGCCCTCCATCTCTCCCCCTCCCCCTTTCCCCCTACACCTTCTCTCCCCTTCCCCGCTGTGTTCCGCCTCTCTCCCCTCCCCTCTCTCCAACCTCTTTCGCTCCCCTTTACCCCGTTTTCCTCTCTTTCCCCCTCCCCCCGCTTCTTGGTTGGTATTTACTGTTCTCTCCCTGCAGGGTCCTTGACATTGCTGCCATGGGCACAAAGGAATCCAGGGGACATTCAGCCCATTGAGCCTGTTCCCCCACAGCCTCTCCTAACCTCACGCCCCCAGATCAGCCACACCCCCCAATCACTCCCCGAGGATCTTCCCGTCTCTCCCCCAAATCCCTCCAGTGATCCGGGGCTGAGTTTCCAAACCATGCCCTTCTGGCCACGGCCCCCTCTGGTCATGTCCACTTCTTCCCCACCCCCTTTGGGTCCCTGACATAGCCGTGCCCTGTCTGGCCCCACCCCTTCACCCCCACCTCTTCTGGTCTGGCCCCGCCCTGTCTAGCTCTCCTGCTCTGCCTCTCTCCTCACCTGTTCTGCCTTGGAGTGGGGGTGGGTGGGGGGTGTAGAATTGTCTCTGTTTACATGTCTCGAGCCTCTGCAGACTCCTATGACGCTGCGCTGTGTGTTGAATTGGGGGCTTGAGCCCCACTTGGGCAGAGTTTGGGCTCACAGTCACCCTTCAAGGCTCCGTCCTTCGGATGAGACATTAAATTGGGGTCCCGTTCGCCTGTTAAGGTGGATGTTGGAGATTCCGTGGGGTCTTCTCTGTTAGAGCAGAGTTTCCCTTTGACGGTTTTAATTTAACATTTATATCCCGATGGGAAGGGATTGGGATTCCATCTGAACGTCGACGGGAACAGAGTGTGGGAAGGCTTAACCTCCTGGAGAAAGGGAAAGATAAGACGAGAGAGAGAAAGAGAAATTGAGAAAGAAAGAGGAAAAGAGAGAGCAAGAAAATCAGTGAGAAAGAAAGAGGGATCAAGCGAGATAGCGAGAGAGGAAAAGAAAGATAGAGATAATAAAAATAATCCTTTCGTTTGATCCAGCACTTCATCACATTGTTGAGACGACTCAAAGTGCTTCACAGGATACACTGTAAAGTGTAGTGAGGGTGGGTTTGGCGGGCGAAAAGCGGCAGCCACAATCACGCACGGCAGTGTCCAGCAAACAGTCGTGGATTGAGAGAGAGAGAGAGAGAGAGAGAGAAAAAGAGGCACAGAGAGAGAGAGGAAGAAACAGAGAACGATAAAAGAGAGAGAGAGAAAAAAAAGAGAGAAACGAAAGAGAGAAAAAAGAGAGAGAGAGAGAGAGACGAAAGAGAGAGAAAAGAGAAAAAAGAGAGAGAGAAAAGAAAAAGAGAGAAAAGAAAAAGAGAGAAAAGAGAGAGAAAGCCGTGTACTAACGACAGGTTTACCTGTTTACAGGGGGTGGAGCCTCTCTATGCCCAGATCATGAAGAACAAGAGTTAAGCAGCGAGAGTCGGGCGTGTGGCCGGGAAGCCTCGGACTCTTCTCCATTGGATCAGCGTGTAGCCCCCCCACCTCAAAACACTAACGTGCCCCCCCCCCCCCTCAACCATTGAGACCTGACCTGTCTAAACCAGCGAACAGAACACACAGCGGATTTTTGCCTTATGAGGCGGCTGGGAATGAAGACATTTTACGGGGGGATTGGCGAGGGGTGGGGTGGGATGGGGGGGGGGCCTGGGGGAAACAAAGGGGTGGGGGTGGGTGGGGGGGGGGGAAACGAGAGGAGGAGGGGGGCGGACAAGAGAAAGCAGATGAACTCGCTGACTGTGAGCTGTGTCCGGGGACAGAGAGAGAGAGGAAGGAGGTCTCGCTCTCTCATGGCGTTGCCAGGAACCCCCTCCCTCCAGGCTGTGAGATGGACTGAAGGATTCTCCCCATCTTTTTATAAGAAGCAGACGGGACGTCACAGGTGTCGGACCACCACTCCACCCACCCTATCCCCCCCCACCCTCGTAAGGGAATGATTGGCTCATCTGGCTGCCAAGAGCTCTCTCACTCACTCGCTCGCTCACCGCCGAGATACTATGCAGACGTCAACCTCACAACGAGGTCCTTTTACAGACTACAGTCACTCATACCTCCTGCCCTCTTTCCCCTTCCCTCGCTCTCCTTATGTCTTCTTTCTCTCTCTCCTCCTCTCTCCTTTGTTCTCTCCCTCCTTCGCTCTCTCTCCTTTTCGCTCGTTCCTTCTCTCTCTCTTCTCTCCCTCCCTCCTTTGCTCTCTCTCTCTCTCCCTCCTTTTCGCTTTTGTTTCTTCTCTTCTTTCTTCTCTCTCTCCCTCCTTCACTCTTGCCCTCCTTCGCTCTCTCTCCCTCCTTCGCTCTCTCTCCCTCCTGCCCTCTCGTTCCTTCTCTCTCTCTTCTTTCTCTCCCTCCTTTTTCCCTCCCACTCTCTCCTTCTCCCCTCTCTCTATCTCTCTGCCTCATTTGCTCCCCTTCTCTTCCTCCTCCTCTTCCTCCTTCTCTGCCTCGCTCCCTTTCTTCTCTCCCTCTTTGCCCCTCATTTAGCTCTCTCTCCCCCTCCCCCCCACCCCACCTTTGCCCCCCTCTTCCCATTTTCCTCTGTGATCGCAGCAGTGGGAGACGTCCCACGGATATGGCGAGGAAGGACTGATGAGAGACACTCTGGATGGACGGACAGTTTTCCCAACACTCTGGGACTTGTTGCCACCGTGGACAATTTTTACCGGCGCGGGTTCTTGTTATGTGTGCGTGTGTGTGTGTGTGTGTGCGCGTGGGGAGGGGGGGTGGCGACGGGGGGGGAGGGGGGAGGGTATTTTGTACAATATTTGGAAAAAACAAGGAAGAAAAGGAGAGAGAGAGAGAGAACGAAAGAAATTTTAAAAAAAAGAAAAAAAAACACAAATTTATTTTATAGAGAAAAAAAACGAAACGGGAGTTCTCTTTTGCTCTGAACCATTTGTGGGGAAGAGGGGCGGAGAGGGGAGGGAGAGAGTGGGGGGGGGGGAGGGGGAGAAGGGCAGTGAAGTGACTTTGAGCAGCTGAATCTTATAGAAAAACTTTTTTGAGGGAGGGGCGGTGCAGTGTGGGGAGGGTGGAGGGGAGTGTAAATATTTTTGTCCAAAGTTATTTGGCCTTTTGTTCGACCTCTGGAGGTCTCAACATTGCCTCCTATTTTATTCCTGAACAAGGAAGTTGGAGTCAAGGAGGGAGAGGGAAGTGGGGTGTGGGTGGGGATTTTTTTTGGGGGGGCGGGGAGCGAGAATGAGTCTCTTTCTATCTTTTAAAACTCCGCTAAAAAAAAACTCCTCTTGTTTTTAATGTCGATTTACACTTTTCCTTTGAACTCTTGACCAAGGAACATCACCGGTACGATGGATTTTTAGATACAGAGAGAAAGAGAGAGAATTCACCTTAATTCCTGTAACTCACCATCTTAATAGTGTTGCAAATATACCCGAGTTTTNAAAAAAAACTCAGTCTCCTTCGCACCTGGTTTGTGTACTAAATGATTCGTGTTTTGCTCATCGTTCCGAATGGCGAATTTTTCTTTGACTCTTTTTTTTTAATTGACCCTCTCTCCCTTCCCCGCGATTCTTGTTAATTTAACCCAGAAGCGATGGGTTGGGGACTGGAGAGCGCAGGGTTGAGGTTGTGTGATGAGACAGTTATAATGATAATAATAATAATAAAATAATGATCCTTGCATTTGATATCGTGCCTTGTCACGTCTCGAAGCGCTTCCCAGAATATAAAGCGGAGTGACTGTGTATTTTGTGGGCGAAACGCGGCAGCCAATTGCGCACGGCAGTGTCCCACAAACAGTCGTGGATCGACTGACCAAATTATTTTTGGGAGTGTTTATGAAAGCGATCCGCCAATCAACTAACAACTGGGTTCAAATTCACTGCTAGGTAAGCAGAGGTGTGTGGAGTAAGGAATCTTGCCTAAGGTTTCACTTAACCAGGAATCGAACTCAGGTCCTCTCGCTTGCGAGGCGAGTGCTCTATTGACAACCCGACAACCCCACAAACCACACGTCAAATCACTTTATATCAAGCGCTTTGAGACATCTCAACAACCTAATAAGGCTCTATATCAAATGCAAGGATTATTATTAAGGATTATTATTATTTGGAGGCAGGCATTGGGGAGTATTTCTTAGCATTGAGAAAGGAGTGGGTGGCGGGGAGGACCTGGGGGGAGATAGGAGATTGATCGGGTAGGGATTCTGGAAGAATTAGTTCAAATGGGTTGAAGAGGCCAGCGTTTACCTTGAACCCTCTCTCTCTTGTGATGACTTAAGGCAGGGTGGTCCAACCTTTTTGGCTGCTGAGGGCCGGATTTGAGAAGCGTCCGTGAGCCTCGTAAGCAATATTTTATGCCTGAATAGCCAGTCCCGTTAACGTGCAGCACCTGAGGCCCTGGTGACCGTCTCCTGATTGGCTCGGGGCCTGTGTGTCTCCTGTATTTGTTCATTGGACAAAGAAGTTGGAAATGGTTCATGGATAAGATCATCCCCTGGGCCGGATGTGGCCCGTGGGCCGCCAGTTGGACCACCCTGATTTTTGCTACTTGCTGTTAAAGCAGAAGGTGCCAAGAGATTCTGACCGAGTGGTACTACGTGAGAATGTTGAACTGTGATCGGAGATATTGTATCATTTTGCGATGTTGCTGAGAAACATGTCTATAAACTAACTCGAGACTCTCGGCTCAGAGCGTCAGTCAAACGCCTGTTTTCTGCGTCTGTCCGGAATTTGCCCCCAGGAACAAACCTTACAAACTTAGTTGGAACTCAGCCTAAATCAGATCATCAAATCAAAGAAGTTCAGGAAATAATCTTAACCTTTGTTGACTCCCTAACCTTGGGTGACTCCAAGGTGCTGCTGATGACAGCACATCGCTCATCGGCAGCATCCGGAAGGGCAGACCAGTCACTGGGGGCAGGCATTCTTCCCACTCAGCTCCCGTTAATCCTCCAAGCCAAAGCCCTAGTGGGTAGGGTGGTCCTAGCTGGACAAGCTTGCTAGGCATTGCTCTCAATGGCAAGCTCTGCCGTTTCAGCTGGTTAGACTCCAGCAATTACCCCAACGCAACTCTGGGCTTCTCCTAAGCGTTGGCTCTTGCCAACCTGCGCCTAATACTTTCAGAATTAGGTAAGCAGGATGTGTCCCTCCAAGGAGAGAGAGAGAGAGCGCATTCCATTCTAATTTCAGACACGGAGATTCTTGTGTGTAGGTGGTCTATGTATGTGAAGCTCTCAGTGTGAGTTTGGAGACTCTTATGGACAGCGATGGGTTTCCAGTGACGGTTGACCAAAGGAAACAGAAACTCGACTTTTTGGGATGCTGAGAAACGGACACTGACAATCACGTCCTCTCTTTGATGTGAAGGTTTGGGGCTTCTGCTGGTCACCATTGGTGGATTGTGTCTCTGACCAGCCGGGTAGGAGGAATGTTGGGAAATTCAACAGTGTGTCTCCAAGGTTCTGCTAATATTTTGATGCAATTTATCAACTTGAGATTTGGAACTTCATCACACAGTTCCTTCGACTCACTCCCTGCCTCGCTTGCCTCCTTCAAGGCACGTCTCAAGGCCCTCCTCTTCAACCACGCCTTCGGTCACCTGCCTACCCCCATCCTCTCTGCCCTCCACCCCTCCCTGATACCAACCCCCAGCTTGGGTCCAAATCCCTGACTGTCCAGGCCTTGGGACGTCGTCCTGACGTAAAAGATGTTGCGTAAATGTTGTTTTGTATTGTATTGGAAAGCGCAGAAAATCGGCCATTGTGTATTAAACGCGTGGCGGCGGGAGAGGAGAGATGTGCATCCAAGTTAGTGCAGGACCTGACACCAAAAGGCCCACCTCCATCTTTTCAATGTTATTGAGAGGCCAGATATGGTGTGACCAAGGGAAAAAAATATGAGTGATTAATACCTGTGGTTAATGACAGGATGGGGAGAGAATGATTCACGACTGCCCTCCCACCTCCACACTCTGGCATAATGGTGTGATCCAGTCTCGAACTGTCTCAGAATCCCTCCACACTTGCTCCTTCCCCCACCCCTCACCTCAAAAAAAAACCCTCAAACTCAAAAACTCCTCTTTGACCTTTGGTCAACACCCTTTCAACCGAGTCTGGTACTCACCCCCCCCCCACTTCCCACCTCCATCTCTGTGCTTTGGGATGTTTTTACTAGGTGAAAGGTATTGGGACCACCCCCCCTCCCCACCCCATACCTCTCTCTATGCGGAGATCTATGTGGTTTTAGCTGGTTAAGACTCCAGCAGTTACTCTCAACACACATTCTGAGCTCCCCCAAACCTTACCTCTTGCCAACCTGTGCCTAATACTCTCCGGAATTAGGTCAGCAGGATGCGTTCACCCAGGGAGAGAGCGAGAGAGCACACTCCATCCCAACAAGCTCTGGGATTTCCACGTGTAGGGCGGATGAATGGGATTCTCAGCATGGTTTGCATGATGTTGGGTTTCCACATGTGTCAGACACCCAGCTGATCAAAAACATCTTTCCCTCTCCCTTCCCCCACCTCCCCTCCCCCTCGACTTGGCATTTCTCTGACCTATTCCAGTAAAGCCTATAAATGTACACAGTGTTGACCTCTGCTTTTCCAACGGGTGTAAGTGCAGCAGTTTCTCTGTTTCCAGTCCCCTGGTCCAGCCCAGTCTTGACTGCTCCCCGTTAGGGCTTTGGCTGCAGGGTTACCAGGAGTTGAGTGGGAAGACTCTCTGACCCCAGTGATTGCTCTGCCCTTCCAGGTCCTGCCAATGAGCCAGGCCGGGCTAGTCAATGCCTTGTTGTAAAGTGGACCTGGTTGGTGGGATCTTTAGCGTCCGCTTGAACAGGGCACAGACGGGGAGCTAAACGAGGTGCAAATAGTTCACCGAGCAACATAAAAAATAGGAACATAGGAACAGGTGTAGGCCATTCAGCCCCCGCTGAGCCTGTTCCACCACATTACTGGATCCTGGCTGATCTGTACCCCAACTCCAAATGAAAAAAGGCTTCCTGGTTTCACTCCTAAATGGCCCCGAAAATGAGGAGCCTTCCTGGCTCTGGGCTCATCCGGTGAAATCGGCAGCTGCTCAGTGTAAGTCGTGCCTTGGTGGATTCTGCACCCACATACCCACACCTACCCCCCCAACCCACATACCCACACCTACCCCCCCACCCCCTGCCCACCCCCAGCTCGCCACGGGGTTCAAAGCAACGGGTAGAGGAAATCTGGAACTCTCTCCCTCCCCCAAAAGGCTGAGGATTTATTTAGTAGATTGGAAGAATAGACTCGAGGGGCAGAATGGACTTCTCCTGTTCTGTGTGTTTGTGTGTGTGTGTTTGTGTGTGTGTGTGTGTTTGGTGTGTTAGTGCGTGTGTTTGTGTGTGTGTGTGTGTATGTGTATGGTAAACCAGCCTCTGGCTGCGGCCGGGCTGATTGTTGACCCAAGCTAAACTGGCCGAGGAAGAAAGGCCACTGATCGGTCGGTCAGTCAGTCTAACATTGCGCCATTCCTGTGCCATTCCCCCGAGCGTTGTGCCTGTCCGCTCGGAGCCGGTGTGGACAATGGGGACAGCACACAGGAGCTGTGGGCTATTTCAGCCTGTGAGCTGCGTGGCTCTGCTTCTCACTGTGTTTGACATCGGCCAGCGATGTGGTGCCAGGTACGTCAGTCGCTCCCCATCGCTTTATATCTTCATGGTATTGGGGGGGGGGGAGGAGGGGGCAAGGGGGCGGGGCTCAAGCCTCAGGTCTGGGGTTTTCCTGTCAGCCTGTCTCGTCTCGAGATGGTACATGGGGTTTAGGCCCCCTTCCCCCTCAATTTGATCTTAAAGATTGGAGTAACACCCAGAGTCACTGACAGACTAACCCCAGAGTCCTGCACAGACAGACAGACAGACAGACAGACAGACAGACAGAGTGAGGAGCAGACCGAGTGACAGACAGATGGAGAGAGGCACAGACAGACAGGCGCGGGGCAGCAGTAATTGTCGTCTGGTTGCAGCGAGGATTTGTCCACGGTATCCGGTGGCCAATCCCGTGTGCGGAGGGCCCCCTGGGACCCCCCCCAGCCCCTGGATTGCCTGCTGTCCGCCTGGTCGCCCTGGAGCCTGTGTGAGCCCTGCCAGAACAAGCGTGTAAGTACCACCACAACAACAACAACAACGTGCTCCCAGAGACCGAGAGCAAAGCCACGACTCCTGTTCCTACGTTCTGCTGTGGCCCTGGCCCACACCCCATCCACAAACGGCAGTAGAACATAGCACAGGAGGAGGCCATTCAGCCCCTCAAGCCTGTTCCTTTAAGATGATGCCCCCTTGTCTTGGATTCTCTTCAGAGAGCAGAGACAGCGAGAGTGTGTCTCGGTGGGTTTTGAAAGCAAAGAGGCGTTGTGGGGTGAGTTGGGGGGAGCAAGGTGGATGGGGTTTGGATGCGTGAGTCCCAGAGTTTGGGGGGGTACAGGGTTAAAGGCTCAACCGCCATCGGTGGGGTTGAGGGGGTGGGGGCGTGGAGGGATCCTGAGCTGATGAACAGAGAGAGAGAGAGAGAGGGGGAGAAAGAGCTAACAATAAGACCTCTAGCTTTCATGGAAGATACGTAGAATCAAGTGTCTGTCTGGCTCAGTCAGTAGTCAGGAGGTGATGGGTTCGAGCCCCCACATCGTGACTTTGTGCTTACTCTCACAGTCTAGAGAGGACCCGGGTTCAATTCCCAGGTGGGACGAAACCTTAGGCAAGTTTCCTTACTCCACGCCCCTCTGTTTAGTAAGTTTAGTAAGTTGGAACCTGGTTGTTAGTCGATTGGCGGTTCGCTTTCGGAGGGTAATAATCCTGTACAATAATACAGTAATAATAATTTTGTCACTCTATCCACAACTGTTTGTGGGACACTGCTGTGTGCAATGGACTGCCGCGTTTCGCCTGCAAAAGTACCCAAGGCAATCCACCTTACAGTGTATCTTGTGAAGCGCTTTGCGACGTCTCAGCGACGTGATAAAGCTCTCTACCAAAATTATCGTGGGATTATTATGGGCTGACGTTCCAGTGCAGTGCTGGGGGATGGTGGGGGAGAGGGGGAGGGGAATTGTGGGGCTGTCCTTCGGCCGAGATGTTAAACCCGGGTGTGAGCTGATCGAGTGGTGCTGTGTGTGTGTGTAGTTCAGGTACGCCAGGCTGGAAGTGCCAAGGCAGTTTGGTGGGGAGCCATGCGAGACTTTTGACCGTCAAGAGGAGACCTGTAGATCGCAAAGTCGCTGCCATGTGCCAGACATGTGTGAAGGCTTCGTCTGTGCTGAAACAGGTAATGCCTAGTTGGCGCCCCCCTCCCCACCACCACCACTAACCCCCACCAAGCCCCTTCCTTGCTCTGCCACCTGCTTCAACCCCTTTCCCGACCCAGACACTCCCTTCAATCATTCTTCTTCACATCGCCCCCTGCCCCCCACCCGCTCTCTCCACCGCACTATCGGGAGCCGGGCTTTCAGCCGTTCCACCCCCCCCAACCCCCACCCTCCAACCCTCCACCCCCTACCCCCCTCACCGCTCACAGGAAATCCATCGTGGAATCTCTCCCAATTCTTCCCTCTTTCCCTCCCTCCCCTTGTTCAATCCCCTTGTTCATCTCGCACCTGCCCCACCCCACCCCCTCCCCCCCAACCCAACCCTCTTTGGCTCTTACCCCCAACTCAGTCAGCAGTGTCAAGTGCTTTGAGACGTAAAATATACAGGGTGACCAAAAAGTTGTGATGCCATTACAATGGCTCATACGTCTTAAAGAAATTATGATTTTTGTTTAGATAATAGGGTAGATATCAGGACTTTTGGGTCACTCTGTATATTTTATCGTGTTGCAATGCGCAGGGTATCAGACTTTTGCTCAGCGTTGTTACCGCTGCTGTACTGGGAGCTTGGGGTGCGTTTGGAACTTATATACTTATATACAATAATATTGTGGAGTCGTGATCACAATTCTAATGTACAGAGTGTCCACAAAGTCCTGTTACCCCCCCTCCCCCCAATCACCCCACCCTCCCCCCAACTCACTGCCCCACCCTTTTTTGTATTCAGTAATTCAGTCGGCTCCGGCCTCCTGTTTGTCCCTCGCCCCTTCCACTCCGCCATCGGTGGCCGTGCCTTTCAGCCACTACTCCCTGAAAAATTGGAACTCTCTCTCTCCCTAACCTCAATCCTTCCGCCTTTCCCCTCCCTCCCCACTTCCAAATCCCGCTCAAAGACCTTCCTTTTTGATCGTGTTCACAGTCGCGCCCCCCACCACCCTGCACCGTCCCCCTCTCCCCCCCCCCCCACCTCTCCCCTTGGCTCGGGGTCAGCCTCCGTCAACCTCCAGCGCTCCGGGATGCTACCCCTTCGTGAAGTGGGGGTATAAATGTAAGTTGTTGTTGTGTTGGTCAGTACATGGGTAACGTGACTTTGTGGACACCCTGTACATTGGGACTTCAAGCTCACAGTCCAGGCTGACGTTCCAGTGTAGCGCTGAGGGGGGGGGGAGAAGGGTGTGGGGGGAGGGCTGCATGATCAGAGGCCCCGGCCTTTGAATGAGACGTTAAACCAATCTCACGTCTGCGCCCTGTTCAGGTGGACGTTAAATACCACGATGTGCTATTGGGAAAAGAGAAAAGAATTTCTCTCTCTCTCTCTCTCTCTCTCTCTCTCTCGGTATCCTTGCCCCCTTGCTCCCCCCACCCCACCCTTCCCTCCCGCTCGTGTCCATCCCTGGCAAATGCACAGTCACCACACTTCAGCCAGTAGAATCTTGCGAAGTGCTTCGCGACGTCTCCACGACGTGATAACAGGTGTCGAGCACGGGATTTATTACAGAGCGCGGTAGGACGTTTAACTGGACCGTGCGGCGCAGAGACATGGCCCACACCTGACACGGAGCTACACATCGTGGTGTGTGTATGTGGGTGGGGGCGCAGTGTAAATGTAACATAGTGGTGGTGAGCAGCAGTGTCTCTGACCCGCGCTCTCTGCCCCTCCGCTCCCCCCAGGGCGATGCATTGCTCGTCGCCTTCTCTGCAACGGGGATGACGACTGTGGAGACAGATCGGACGAGAGGAGCTGCAGGAGATTGCAGGTCGCCTGCTCCGGCCACAGGGAGCAGTACTGGGGAGTGCAATACCTGGGCAGCGGGTCTGTATCTCCCTCCCCCCAACACCCCCACCGCCATTCGCTGCTCCTCCCTTCCCCCAACACCCCCACCCCCACCGCCATTCGCTGCTCCTCCCACCACTCTCTCCCCCCGCCCTCCCCCGCCACTTGCTTCCCCTCCCCACCCCACACCCACCCGCACCCCCACTCCACTTGCTCCCTCTGCCCCACTCACCGCCACTTGCTCCCCCCACACCCTCACTCTCAACCCCATCTCAGCTCCCGTAGGGGAGTCCGCCATCACGCACTTCCCCACCCAAACTGTTTTGATGCGGGACAAGAAGCACGTCCTCTGGGACTCTTCCCCCACCACACGTGCAGGGCAGGGCAGGGGGTGAGGGCAGGCTGGGCAAGGCAGGGGGTCAGGGCAGGCTGGGCAAGGCAGGGGGTCAGGGCAGGCTGGGCAAGGCAGGGGGTAAGGGCAGGCTGGTCAGGGCAGGGGGTGAGGGTAGGCTGGGCAGGGCAGGGGGTGAGGGCAGGCTGGGCAGGGCAGGGCAGGGGGTGAGGGCAGGCTGGGCAGGGCAGGGCAGGGGGTGAGGGCAGGCTGGGCAGGGCAGGGGTGAGGGCAGGCTGGGCAGGGCAGGGGTGAGGGCAGGCGGGCAGGGCAGGGGGTGAGGGCAGGCTGGGCAGGGCAGGGGTGAGGCAGGCAGGGCAGGGCAGGGGTGAGGGCAGGCTGGGCAGGGCAGGGAAAGGGTGAGGGCGGGCTGGGCAGGGCAGGGGGTGAGGGCAGGCAGGGCAGGGCAGGGGGTGAGGGCAGGCTGGGCAGGGCGGGGGTGAGGGCAGGCTGGGCAGGGCAGGGCAGGGGTGAGGCAGGCTGGGCAGGGCATGGGGTGAGGGCAGGCTGGGCAGGGCAGGGCATGGGGTGAGGGCAGGCTGGGCAGGGCAGGGGGTGAGGGCAGGCTGGGCAGGGCAGGGCAGGGGGTGAGGGCAGGCTGGGCAGGGCAGGGCAGGGGGTGAGGGCAGGCTGGGCAGGGCAGGGCAGGGGGTGAGGCAGGCTGGGCAGGGCAGGGGGTGAGGGCAGGCTGGGCAGGGCAGGGGGCAGGCAGGGGTGAGGGCAGGCTGGGCAGGGCAGGGGGTGAGGGTAGGCTGGGCAGGGCAGGGCAGGGGGTGAATGTAGGCTGGGCAGGGCAGGGGGTGAGGGTAGGCTGGGCAGGGCAGGGAGGCAGGGCAGGGGGTGAGGGCAGGCTGGGCAGGGCAGGGGGTGAGGGCAGGCTGGGCAGGGCAGGGGGTGAGGGCAGGCTGGCAGGGCAGGGGGTGAGGGCAGGCTGGGCAGGGCAGGGGGTGAGGGCAGGCAGGCAGGGCAGGGCAGGGGGGTGAGGGCAGGCTGGGGCAGGGGGCAGGCAGGGCAGGGGGTGAGGGCAGGCTGGGCAGGGCAGGGCAGGGGGTGAGGGCAGGCTGGGTAGGGCAGGGCAGGGCAGGGGGTGAGGGCAGGCTGGGCAGGGCACTGAGGTTACTTATGTGTCTATTTATTGCTGTCGGGGGCTGTGTGCAGGTTCAACATCCTGACCGAGACGCTGCAGGGCCCTGTCCTCGACAACAGTTACTACGCCGGGAGCTGCGCTCCGCACTACATTAAGAACGTCCGCTTTCGGAAGCCGCACAACCTGGAATTACACAGCCCCGAGGTCGGTGGCGCCCGAGTTTGTGCGCAGTTTTAGCCTCCGGGCCGTCAAAAATTGCTGCGCCCAATTGGCTGCTGCGTTTCGCCCACTAAATGCACAGCCACTACACTTTACGGTGTATCCTGTGAAGCGCTTTGAGACGTCTCGAAGACGTGATAAGGCGCCGTATCACATGCCAGGATTCTTGCGAGGCGGGTGCTCTGACCAACACGTGACGGGACTCTTGAGTGTTGTCTTATTATTAAAAAAAAACTGTTGAATGGATATCAAGTTCTTTTATTATTCATAATAATTGATTCAATCAAAGAGTCCCTGCTGCGGAGTGGTTAGAACACTCGCCTCGCGAACGAGAGGACCCGGGTTCGATTCCCGGGCGGCGCGAAACCTTGGGCAAGTTTCCTTACCCCGCACTAGCATTCCTTACCAGCAGGAACCCACCCACTTGTTGGTCGATTGGTGGGTATTATTATTTTTTAAAAAATAGTAATATTAATAACAATAATAATAATTTGGTCACTCAATCCACTGCCGCGCGCGATTGACTGTCCGGTAGCCAATACACAGTCACTCCACTTCACTTTGTGAAGCGCTTTGAGACGTCTCGACAGCGTGATAAGGCGCTGTGCGAAATGCAAGGTGTGATGATGATGATGATGACGACGATGACGGTGATGAATGCAACGTGAATTATTAACGCTGGATGTTTCTTGCCTCCTGTCCGTCCCAGACCAAAGCAGATTTCCAGCTCTCCCTCCAGGAGCACGAGTCTTTCTCCAGTTTTGCCGAGAGCCGCTTTAAAAGCAGCAAGAAAAGCAAGGCCTTCAAGTTGGCCATAAACATCCCCGAGGTCTTCGAGATCGGAATCAACTATGCGAGCAACAACTACAGGAAGATGGCCAGCAAGCTTCTGGAATCTTCCGGGGCTGTGAGTGTCCGATGCCATCTCATTTCCAAGCTTTGGAGTTTGGGGCTAACAGAATGGGCTCGGGATGGGCTCGGGGGGCTGCATGGCCGAGCTCCTGTTCCTATGGTCCTGACTCCCTTCACAAACATCGCCGATTCTAAAAACGTCGCTGCTCGTGGGGTTTCACCCGCAGTTTACAATCCCCCCCACATCTCCCCCACTTAGAGTCACACCCCTTTTTACTCCTCATCCTCACTCTCTGGGATTAAGCAAGCAGGGCATTTCTCTTCTGAGAGAGAGAGAGAAGGGGGGGGTGGGGGGATGGTGGGGGGACTGCGTTCGAGACCCAGGGGACTTCCTATGTGTAAGTGGAGACTCTTAAGCGTGGTGATGGGTCACCCTGTGGGTCAACTGACCAAAAACCCAACTAACCTTCCTGGTGTCTGTCCTAAAATCGCCCCTTTGTGACTCTTAACCAGTTTCCTCCAGTGAAGCCCTGTAGCTCAGTGGTTAGAGCACTCGCCTCGCAAGCGAGAGGACCTGGGTTCGATTCCCGGGCAGGACAAAACGTTCGGCAAGTTTCCTTACTCCAGATACACGCCTCTGGTAACCCAGCAGTAAGGAGGAACCCTTACGATTGGCGGATCACCTTTCCGGGGTAATAATCCTTTCGAAACCAATTTTTGAAAAATGAATTATTTGGTCGTTCAACCCTAGACTGTTTGTGGGGACACTGCCGATGGCTGCCGCATTTCACCCCCAAAAATACCCAGTCACTACACTTTACAGTATATTTTGTGAAGCGCTTTGAGACGTCTCGACGACATGATAAGGTGCTGTATCAAATGCAAGTTTTATTATTATTATTATTATTATTACCCTCTATACACTCCTCCAGTGTCAAGGGTTCTGGGAAGCTGCCCTGCGTAAGGGGCTCTATATTATTGTTGTTGTTGTCTCCCTCTGCTCCTTCATAGAAAAGGTCCATGTACCACGCTCAGATGACCCTGCAGGTCGGACGATTCAAGTTCAAGCTCAGGGACCTCATGCTCCATCATGAGTTCTTCCAAAGGATTAGCGAGCTGCCAATCCCGTACAGCTATGGCGAGTACAGGGAGATCTACAAAGACTACGGGACACATTTTATGAGCGAGGGATTTCTCGGAGGCACCTATGAATACCTTTGGGTCCTCAACTCCAAGAATATGAAACGAGACGGTGAGTCCATCTCTAGCCCTCAAGAGTTTCTGGCCAATGGCCCCCTTCCACACTCTCACCTCCCTCCCCTCCTGGGCTCTGGGTTGGGTCAGGGGGGAGATGGTGATGGTTAATTCAGAATGATTTTTAGCCGCCTTCCCCCACCCCCACCCCACATCAATTGTGAATGAAATTGCGGGCACTAACCTGATCTCTCTCTCTGGCCTTTGCTTTGCAGGTTACTCTATGAGTGACGCAGAGAACACCATGAAGGTGGGGGCTAATTTGGGCGGCTCGATCGACGGGATCTATGTGGCTGGGGGGTTCACCTTTGGTATAGGTGACAAGCTCTTGACGGAAAAAGGAGGTACGTTCCCAAGTGCACAGTCACTACACCAACACAGGGTCGATGCTGTGGAACAGCTCAATCAAACGGTGTCTGATTTGTACTAACTGTAGGGATGATTATTAATGTGATGCAATGACCTCTCCATTGAGACGTCTCAAGGCGCTTCACAGGATATACTGTAAAGTGGAGTGACTGTGTATTTTGTGGGCGACCGCAGTGTCCCACAAACAGTCATGGAGTGAATGACCACATTTTTTTGGGAGGGAATATTACCCCCGGAAAAGTCATCCGCCAATCGACCAAGAGCGGGATTCTACTTAGGACCTGGGTTCGATTCCCGGCAGGGCCAAACCTCAGGCAAGTTTCCTTCCGCCTCTGTTTACCCAGCACTAAGGGGGGAACCTGTTTTTGCTGTCGATCGGCGACTTGCTTTCCGGGGGTAATAATCCCTCAAAAAATAATAATAATAATAATTTGGTCACTTTGTGAGCGAGCGAGCGAGTGCGAGCGAGTGCGAGCGAGTGCGAGCGGGTGTGGAAGTGTCAGCGCGAGCCGGCAAGTGTGACTGACGCAAACACAATAAAAGGATTATTATTGTAATTATCATTAATATTATTAGTATTGAACCCGGTTGAAAATGGCACCCAGACGTGGCTGGGATTTCTGCTGTTTTTCCTGTAAAATGGGTCTGTGGTTGTGTCCGCTCCAGTCGGCATTGCGAGCTCCAACTACACGGAGGACTTCATAGCCTTCGTGCGCGGCGGAGCGAGCGAGCACGTGACGGCCTTGTCACAGAAGGACCTGCCCACGCGCCAGCTCATGCAGGAGTGGGGAGACGCTGTGGAATACAACCCAGAGGTCATCCAGTTCAAGGTAACTCACACTCGCGCGCTCACCACTCGCTCGCACTCGCTCGCTCACGCTGACACGTTTCGCGCTCACTCACACTCGCTGGCTCACGCTCGCTTGCTCACACTCACATTCATTCCTTCCCTCACTCGCTCATACTCACTCATTCGCGCTCACGCTCGCTCGCTCGCTCACTCACTCACGCTGGCATTCGCTCGCTCGCACATGCTCACGCTCGCGGTCTCTCGCTCACACTTGCTCTCGCTGACACTCGCACGCTCTCGCTCACACTTGCTCTCGCTGACACTTGCACGCCCTCACTCACACTTGCTCTCGCTCAGACTCGCGCTCTCTCGCTCACACTCTCTCGCTTACACTTGCTCTCGCTCAGATTCGCGCTCTCACTCACACTTGCTCTCGCTGACACTCGCGTTCTCTCGCTCATACTTGCTCTCACTGACACTTGCACGCTCTCGCTCACACTTGCTCTCGCTCACACTCGCGCTCTCTCGCTTATACTTGCGCTCGCTCACACTCGCGTTCTCTCGCTCACACTTGCTCTCACTCAGACTCGCGCTCTCTCGCTCACACTCACGCTCTCGCTTACACTTGCTCTCGCTCACACTCGCTCACACTGAGCTGATACTAACGGTGTGTACTCGCACTGACAGCCGGTGCCGCTGTACCAGCTGGTGACGGGGCAGACCTTCCACAACAGCCGAGCCATCAAAGCCAACATGAAGCGAGCGCTGGAGGAGTTCCTGACAGAGTACAGCTCATGTCGCTGCGCTCCCTGTCGCAACAACGGGGCTGTGGTCTTCACAGGTAACAGTGAGGGTCTCAGCTCAGGCACTGCATCCTGAGGTGCCGTACATCCCCGGTCCCTTCCCTCCTCACTTCCTCTCCCCTGCCCCCCTCCTCCCCACTCCAGTCCCCTCCTCCCCTCCCCTCCCCTCCACTCCACCATCGGTGATAGCGCTTTCAGCCACCACACCCCGAAACTCTGGAACATTTTCCTCTCTCCCTCTGCCTTGCCCCCTCCTTCCTCATCGTCAGGACGCACATGAAGATCTTCCTCTTCAACCGTGCTTACGGTCACATCCCCACTCCCCCCGGCTTGGCATCGTGCTCCGCCACTGTCAAGCGCTCTGGGACGCTACCCTGCATGAGGGGCGCTGTGTAAATGCCAAGTTGTTGTTGTTGAATAACGTCTCTCCCTCTCAGGATCCCACTGTGAGTGTGTCTGTCCTCCCGGCTTTCGAGGGGTCGCCTGTGAGATTACCAACCGACGGGGTAAGTGGGGGAGGGGAGGAGTGGATGGGGGACAGGATGGGCGGGGGGAGAGGCTGGATGTTTGGGGCAAGAAGGTGTTAAAGGTAAATATAAAGGCTCATCACTCTCTCAGGAACAGGTGTGGTTAAGCCAAGCCAACAGGAGGCTGGTCAGACACGGAATAGTTGGAGCTGCACAGAGCTGAAAGCGGTGGCAAACTTTATGTTAGTTGCGGGATTTTAGCAGTTGAAACCTATAGCGTAGTGGTTAGCATGATCACCTCACAAGCGAGAGGACCCGGGTTTGATTCCCGGGCAGCGCGAAACGTCAGGCAAGTTTCCTTGCTCCACATGCCTCTGTTTACCCAGCAGTAGGTGGGAATGCGGTGGGAATTATTATTCGATTGGTGGATCGCTTTCCGGGGGTAGTAATTCTTCCAATAACGGATTCCAATCCACTGCTGTTTGCGGGACGCTGCTGCGTGTGATTGGCCTACAAAATATTCACATTACAGTGTATCCTGTGAAGCGCTTTGAGGCGTCTCAACAACGTGATGAGGCACTGTATCAAACGCAAGGATCCTTGCAAGTCGAGTCATCTAGCCAATACACTGCAGCACTAGTAGTTTAGGAGGCTGGGATGGTGGTGTGGTGGGGGTGGGATGGTGGTGTGGTGGGGGTGGGATGGTGGTGTAGTGGGGATGGGATGGTGGTGTGGTGGGGTTGGGATGGTGGTGTGGTGGGGTGGGATGGTGGTGTGGTGGGGAAGGGGTGGTGGTGTGGTGGTGGTAGGATGGTGGTGTGGTGGGGAAGGGGGTGGTGGTGTGGTGGGGGTGGGATGGGGGTGTGGTGGGGAGGGGGTGGTGTGGTGTGGTGGGGAGGGGGCTTGAGGATGATCACAGAGGGGTATAGTCTAACGCAGTGCTCTCACCGTATGCCTCAGATGTTCCAGTGGATGGGAAGTGGTCCTGTTGGTCTGGGTGGTCCGAGTGCACAGGCAGACAGAAGACGAGAGCGCGGTCTTGCATCAACCCCCCACCGGCCCATGGCGGGCAGCCGTGCCCCGGCGATCGCCAGGAAACACTGACCTGTTAGTGAGCAAAGCCGTACTCCTCGCCTCTCCCCCACGCACAGCACCACAGGAACAGGAGGAGGCCATGCAGCCCCTTGAGCCTGTTCCACCATTCTATTAGATCATGGCTCATCTGTAGGATTGATTTGGATAGCTCTTTTCAAAGAGCCGGCACGGATGGGCCGAATGGCCTCCTTCTGTGCTGTATAATTCTATGATTCTATGGCTCATCTGTATCTCAACTCCAATTACCTGCCTTCGCCCCATAGCCCTCGATACCCCCAACCTAACAAATATCTAAATATCTACCCACCTCAGTCTTGAAAATGTAAGTGGATCCATCATCCACAGCCTTTTGGGGAGAGGAAGAGAGTTCCAGGTTCCCACTACATTTCCTGATTTCATTCCTAAATGACTTGGCTCTAATATCAAGATGATGCCCCCCACCCCCCCACCCCCACCCCCCCGACCCCTGTTCAAGATTCCACCACCCTTTGCAACAGAGAAGTGCGTGGGAGGCATGAAATTCTACCTGATTTTCTGCCTCAAGACCCTCTCAGGTTAAAAATGGTGCGGAGTTGGCAATTGGTAACTTGTGCGCTTGGAAACCGGTTTCAGAGAAGGGAATTTCACTCCCAAGCCATCAATCCTTCCTGGCCCTCAGCCCCCCCACCACTCCCCCCACCTCCACCTGTCACCTCCAGCACCTTGGGACGTCATCCCGACGTGAAAGGCGCTATACACATGTAATCTTATATTGCAGTGTATTGTTACACACCTTTCCCCACACCCACACCCACATCACCCGCCCAATTCTGTGCCACCTTAAATTTTAGGGCAAAGGTCTTGAAGCTGAGACCAGGTGGAATTTCCAGCCTCATACCTCCATTTGTTTTTCACAGATCCATAACTTGGCCACACAAATAGGAGTTGGGGGCGGAAATCGGTAGTTAGGGGGGGAGGTCAAGAGCTCTTGTACATCTCTGTACCTGTACGTTCCCCATACACCCCACCCACCCACCCACGTCCCCACCTCGAGATGTCTACTTTCAAGACTGAAGACCCCCGGCTTGTCTAATCGTTGCTTGTTTCTCTAACACTGGGGATCAGCCTCGTTGTTCTCCTCTGCTGGGCTGCTCCCCCACTCTCCCCGCCCCCCCCCCATCTCACCCCCCACTCCATATCGCAGTGACCACACTGTCTTCCCTGAACACTAGACTAGGTAGTAACATTAAATAAATGTCCATCAATATAAACAGTCTCCACTTTGTTCTTTTACTGATAAAAAACCCTTTCACCCTTAACGTTGATGATGGTAGATACTGATCAGGGGATCAATGGGTAAAAAAGAATTGAAATGGACGGAGAGAAAGATGTGGAACATTTAATATTCTCTTCCGAACCGGAACACAGGCCGGTCACGTTCTGCTGTGCGGCTGGTGGTGTTGTGGGGGGAGGGGGGAGGGTGGATGTTGGAGGCGAGAGGGGGTGGTTGAGGGCGGGAGGGGTTGGTGGTTGGCGAGAGGGCGGGTGGTTCAGGGCGGGAGGGGTTGGTGGTTGGCGAGAGGGGGAGTGGTCAGGGGTATCACCGCCCGCCAGTTCTAGCACCGCTGGCTCTGCGTGGGCTTTCCCAGGCACGTGAGCCCCCCAGGTCCAGGTGGGGGGTGGTCGCAGTTGCGTGCCCGCTGCCTCGAGCCTCGTTGGCATGGTGACCAGTCCGACCAGCAGCCCCAGCTTCCGTGGGCGGGCTCTGCCGAACCAAACGCACAGACACGCGTCACGTCTCGTCTCACCCGCTACCAGCTCCGCCCCGTACGGCCACACCCTCTCACCTCCTCGGGGTGTGGTGGAGGGGGGGGTGTGGTGGGGGCAGAAGCGCTGTACCATCAGATGTGCCTTCACCTTTGGTTGAGATTGTGACATTCCCCCCCACCCCAGACACAGCGCTGTGTAACCCTCCCCCCAAGATGCCCAGACACTGCAGGGTCCTGTGTTTGCCGCTGGGCGAGGGATGTGGGGGTAATCAGTCACCGGCATCCCTGAGGTGTGTTCGTACCTGTCCGCTTGGTCTCCTGGCAGGTCTGGCCCAGGTATCCCGGAAGACAGTCACAGCGGCAGATATTATTCCACAGCAAGGTGCGGCCGTTGTGGAAGCAGATTGGACAGCGACACGGGGAGAACTCCCTCAGATACTGTTCCACCGCTCGCCGCAGGTTCCCTCGCTGGGCCTCGGAGGAGCGTGCGTTACTCCTGGTCAAGAGCTCATAGATAGGCATGGTCTGGGGCAGAGAGACAGAGACACAGAGAGAGACACAGAGAGAGAGACGGAGAGACACAGAGGGAGACACAGGGAGACAGAGCGGGGAGGGACACCATTAATAATCATAAATATTCCTAGCATTTGATACAGCGCCTTATCACGTCTTCGAGACGTCTCAAAGCGCTTCACAGAATATACCATAAAGTGAATTGACTGCATTTTGTGTCCAAACACTGGCAGCCATTTGCTCACAGCGGTGAACCACAAACAGTCGTGGATTGAGTGACCAAATTATCATCAGTGTTTTTTTGGAGGGATTATTTCCCCCAGAAAACGATCTGCCAATCGTCTAACAACCACTTACTGCTGGGTAAACAGAGGCGGGTGCGGAGTGAGGAAACTTACATAAGGTTTTGCCCTGCCCGGGAATCAAACCCTGGTCCTCTCGCTTGCAAGGCGAGTGCTCTAACTGCTATGCTATTTTCGCCCACAAAACACACAGTCACTATGCTTTATAGTGAAGCGCTATGAGATGTTCCGACGACGTGATAAGGCGCTGTATCAAATCCAAAAATTATTAGTAGTAGCATCGTCTGCGTGGTTGATTATTACTGCTATTACCTCAAAATCCGTGACGATGGGATTGTATTTCAGGGATTGGCCCCAGTGCCGGAAAGCCTTGTAATCTGGGAAGCTGTTGGGAGTAGACTGCAAGGCTCCTCCCCGCACTGTGGTGATGATGTCCTGAATGTAGGAGGAGCTGTTCTTTGATTCTAGACTCGCGGGTCACGGGGGACAAAAAATACATCAAATCCACTGTCTCACACCGACTCATCACTGAATGGGATGAACTGAATCCCGGAGTAACGGGTCACTTAGCTCCACATTGCTTCAGAGACAGGGCTAGCGAGGCGGGGAGGGAGAGGAGGGGGGAAGAGAGAGGAGGGAGGGAGTTGGAGAGGGGGTGAGGGGCAGAGGAGAGAAAGGGAGAGGGGGAGAGGGGGAGTGCGCGGTTTAAGTGAAAGGGGAGAGCGTGGGGAAGAGGGAACGAGCGAGAGGGGTGGTACAGCGGTGGAGAGGGTTGGGACAGTGAAGGGCTTCGAGATGTTCTGACGATGTGATAAGGTGCTGCACTAACTCAACATAGATCTGTCCGCTCCCTCTGCTCAGCAGGCTCCAGCCTGGTCCACATCCCCCGCCCGATCCAACCCACCATCAGTGATCAGCCCTTCAGCCTCTCTGCCCTCACCCTTTGGAACTCATCCCAGTGTCTGTTCACCTCGCTCCCTCCCTCACCTCCTTCAAGGCCCGTCTCAAGACCCTCCTCTTCGACCGAACCTTCGGTCACCCTCCTACCCTCCCACTCTCCCTGCCCTCCACCCCCTCCTGATCTCAACCCCCAGCTCAGGTCCATATCCCTGACTGTCCAGTGCCTTGGGACGTCCTCCCGACGTGAAAGGCGCTGCGTAAAAGTCCATGGTTGTTGTTGCTTGATGAGGTCACTTACCCTGGTGAGAGGAACCTGTAGTCCGACAGCTGTGGCCACCAAAGTGCACATTGGATACTCCAATTGAGAAACCCAAGCAAACCCCAACCTTCGATGACGTCATTTCTGTCACACACAAGGTTCACACAACGACCTCAAGACAGGACAATCAGCAGATTCCACGGCTCGTGACAAGCCTAGAGTCCCGTAACTTAGTGGTTCGCCCACTCGCCTCATAACCGAGAGGTTCCCGGGCCAGGGGCGAAACCTTAGACAAGTTTCCTTACTCCACACGCCTCTTTTTACCCATCAGTAAGTAGGAACCTGGTTGTTAGTCGATTGGCGGATCGTTTTCTAGTGGGTAGTAATCCCTCCCTCTCCCCCAAAAAAGAGGTGAGGTGTGAGGACATGAGGTTTGTGAGACGCGGCTGTGCGCATTTCACCCACAAAATATACAGTCAATTCATTTTACAGTATATTCTGTGATTCCACATGTATATACACGCACACACAGACTTGTTTACACACACATACGTTTAAGCACATACACACTCACATTATTGACACACGCACACATACATAGATGAATACACTTTACACATGTACATGCAAATGTACATTAACAAACACACACGTATACATACAAACACACACGCACGCACACGCGGGTACATGTGCACACTTGCCCACATATAAGCGCACAAACACACGCACACCTGCCCAAAACGTCGACACACAACAACAACTTGCATTTATATCGCGTCCCTCGCGTGGGGGGGGTCGACAGTGGAGTAGCAACGATACCGAGCGGTGGGGGGGATGGGGTGGGGGTGGGGGGGGGTGTGGGGTGAAAGGCGGGATGGAGGTGACCGTAGGCACGGTCGAAGAGGCTAACCTGACTCCCGTAGCTTCTGCTTGTCCATGACGAGCACGGACTCAAAGACGCCACCCAGAGTGCCGGCGGTGAGGTAATGGGTGCCGTACTGGCTGATGAAGCGCGAGTAAATGGCGTAATCGTACTCCTCGGGGAGTTCCAGCACCGAGGACAGCATCTCCTCGTGCAGCACCAGATCCCGGCTTCGCAGCCGGAAACGTCCCGTCTGGACCTTGGTGGAGATGCGTGTGAACGCCATGTTCTGCGGGGGAAAGAGGAGGGAGAATTTGGGGGTCACCCCGTAGCCTGGGCTTCCGGTACACATAATAATAATAATAATGATAATGATAATAATTGCGTCACTCGATCGGGGATTGTGTGTGTGTGTGTGTGTGTGGGAGACGCCGCTGTGCGCAATCGGCTGCCGCGTTTCACCCACAAAACACACAGTCACTCCACTTTACAGTGTATCCTGTGAAGCGCTTCGAGGCGTCTCGAAGACCTGATCAGGCGCTGTATCAGACGCAAGATTTATTATTATTATTACTTTCTATACACTCCGCCACTGACAAGCGCTCTGGGACGCTACCCTGGTGAGGATTATTATTATTATTATTATCATTATCATCATTATTATGTTAGAGTGTGTGTGTGTGACGGTGCTGTACCTTGCTGGTGTACTTGGTCAGGTTGCTGAGATGCCTTGAGTGCTCGCTTCCTTCCATGGAGACTTTCACATTCACCTGTACGCTCAATCCCAAGCTCATCGAGTCGCCGGTCACAGAGGCCTCCAGTAAACTGTTCAGGTCATCGTAAGCCTCCACTGCAAATCCCGAGTCAGCGACTGCCTGAGGACGGCGGAGGAGGAGAGCAGATCCAGATCACAGTTGGCGCTCGAACACAACACAACATGAGCACGCAAAGCGGCCAGGTGTGGTGAGGTGAGGAGGTGAGGTGTGAGGAGGTGAGGTCTGAGAGGTGAGGTGTGAGGAGGTGAGGTGTGAGGTGTGAGGTGTGAGGAGGTGAGGTGTGAGGACGTGAGGTGTGAGGAGGTGAGGAGGTGAGGTGTGAGGAGGTGAGGAGGTGAGGTGTGAGGAGGTGAGGAGGTGAGGTGTGAGGAGGTGAGGAGGTGATGGGTAAGCGGGTGAGGTGTGAGGAGGTGAGGTGTGAGGAGGTGAGGTGTGAGGAGGTGAGGAGGTGAGGTGTGAGGAGGTGAGGAGGTGAGGTGTGAGGAGGTGAGGAGTGAGGAGATGAGGTGTGAGGAGGTGAGGAGTGAGGAGGTGAGGAGGTGAGGAGTGAGGAGATAGGAGATGAGGTGTGAGGAGGTGAGGAGGTGAGGTGTGAGGAGGTGAGGAGTGAGGAGATGAGGTGTGAGGAGGTGAGGAATGAGGAGATGAGGTGTGAGGAGGTGAGGAGTGAGGAGGTGAGGTGTGAGGAGGTGAGGTGTGAGGAGGTGAGGAGGTGAGGTGCGAGGAGGTGAGGTGTGAGGAGGTGAGGAGTGAGGAGGTGAGGTGTGAGGAGGTGAGGAGTGAGGAGATGAGGTGAGTTACGGTAATGGACACTGAGGTCCATTCCAGTGTTGTCCACAGCCACGTCTCTCACCTCGATACGGTACATCAGAAGGTTGTGTGGTTTGCGGAAATACTTCTCATCGTCGTTGTAGTACAGCCTCTCGCACTCGCTGTCGTACCTCAGGTCCCGCCACTCCCCGTTATACACGTACTCACAATAGCCTCCGAAATACTCTGCGTCTAACACGTTGCTGCCGATCTCTCCTGTCAGCACGTTATAGCTTGAGGCGTTGAGAAGCAGAGGAACAAAGGTCCACAGTTTACGCCGTGTCTCAAGGCTCTGCGACGTCACTCAATAATAATCCTTACACCTGATCGAGAGCCGCTGCGATAAAGCCAGGAGCGTCTTAAACTGCACCAACAACTTGCACTTACACAGCCACTGCGACCCAGGGCAGAGTCTCAGAGAGATTAACAGTAGCGGCCGGCGGCGGGGGGGGTGGGGAGGAGGACGCGTGAGAGGGAGCGAGGGAGGGAGAGAGGGAGGGAGGAGGTGACCGTAAAAACGCGATCGAAGAGAAAGGTCTTAAGAGGGAAGGAAGGGGGCAACAAGGCGGGGGGATTGGGGGAGAGAGTTCCAAAGCTTTGGGGGCGTAGTGGCTAAAAGCACGGCTGCTGATGGTGGAGCGGGAGGGGACGAAGGGCGAAGGGCCAGCAGAGCAGGAGGCCCGGAGCCGGCCGAGGGGAGGCAGCGGGTGTTGGAGTGGGGAGAAAGCAGGGGGTGCGGAGTGGGAGATGTGTGGGGTGGGTTGGGGGAGGGGGGGGGGTGTGCTGTGAGTTGGCGGCTATCGGCTTACCCAACCATCACCACCTCCATCCCCGGGATGGGTAACATGTCGGTACAGAGAGTTCGCTCCTTGTCCAATTGGTAGTCGTCGCAGTTTTCCTCGTCGGACTGATCCGTACAATCTCTGTCTCCATTGCACACTAACCTGCGCCTCAGACAGCGGCCTGGAGCAGCGGGTTTGGGGTTCAACCCCCAGAAACACAATCAGCGGCTGATTACAGCTCCCCACACCCCACCACCCCCACCCCCACCCCCACCTCCACCTCCACCCCCACCACACTTTTCCGCAAGATCTTTAACATCCATAATAACAATAATATTCCTGGCATTTGATGCAGCACTTTATTACATCGTCGAGAAATCTCAAAGCGCTTCACAGGATATACTGTAAAGTGTAGTGACTGTGCAGTTTGTGGGCAAAAGGCGGCAGCCAAACAGTCGTGGATTGAAGCGACCGAATTAACATTATTTATTATTATTTCTATTTCTTTTTTTTGGAGGGATTTTTACCCCCTGGAAAGCGATCCGCCAATCGACTAACAACCGGGTTCCTACTCACTGCCGGGTAACCAGAGGCGTGTGCGTGCGTGTGTGTGCGTGTGTGTGGAGTGAGGAAACTTGCCTAAGGTTTCGCCCCTGGCCCGGGAATCGAACCCCGGTCGTCACGCCCTGCGAGGCAAGCGCTTTAACCACTGAGCTACAGGGCTCCACAAACCCTCAAGTGTGGTGACTGTGTATTTTGCAGGTGAACGCAGCAGCTCATTTCTGCACGGTAACGGCCTGCAAACAGTCTTGAAGTGTTTAACCGTTACTTATATGGGGGATTGTCGACCATGACACCAGGAGAGAGAGAGAGAGCGAGAGCGAGAGAGAGAGAAACGCCCTTTCCTTTTTCGCGCGGCGCCGTGGGAGATCTTTAATGTCCGCCCGAACAGGGGCGCAGACGGGGAGTGAGGTTTAACGTCTCGTCTCCAAAGTCGGGACTTACCTGAGCCGCAGTGAAATTGGTCGCCACACGTGTTTATTTGCTGGACGCACTGCTCGCTCGTCTCGCAAGGATCGTATTGCCACAGCGCCTCGATACACTGGCCACCGAACTGTGCCGGTCTCGTCAGGCTCCGGAACCGGGGCTAAGCCAGTAAAAAGGTGACCAAGTCAACCTCCGCACCTTCCATTCTAACACACCCCTGAGATCCCCTGAGCCAAGGAGCCTCAGTGGCTCAGAGAGGGGACCTTAACAATAATAATAATAATAATAATAACAACTTGCAGTTGATATAGTGCCCTATCACTGTGTTGTCTCAAAGCGCTTCACAGAATATATTGTAAAGTGAATTAACTGTATGTTTTGTGGGTGAAACCCGGCAGCCAATTGCACACAGCAGCGTTCCCACAAACAGCCGTGGATTGAGTGACCAAATAATTACTATTTTTTTGAAGTGGTTGTTACCCCCTGGAAAAGCGATCCACCAATCGACTAACAACCGGGTTCCTGCTTACTGCTGGTAAACAGAGGTGTGTGGGGTAAGGAAAGTTACCCGAGGTTTCACCCCGCCCGGGAATCAAACCCAGGTCCTCTCGCTTGCGAGGATAGTGCTCTAACCACGACACTACAGGACTCCGCTAGTTAGCACCACGTTAAAATAGAGCCCCATCGATATCTCACAGTGTGGAAAGCGCCACTGGATGAGGGGGTCGGTGGGGAGTGACCCCCAACCTCCTATCCCGTACATTTGATCCAGTGTTTTTCAACATTAGGAGGATGTCTCGAAGTGCTTCACGGGCTGCACGGTCCCGTGTAGTGACTGTGTAGCTTCTGTTTTGTGAGCGCGTACCTTTGACATCTCGCACGGAGAGCACCTGGCCCAAGGGGACCACGGTCCCAGCTCACAGTTGCGTTGGATCGTGCTGCGGGCTTTACGGGCACCCCGACATTTGCATCCACACTCCGTCCTGCGGGGAACCAAACCCACTCGCTCAGTTCATCCCCATCTCACCACAAATATACGGTTCGCATTTCACCCAACCGCATTATCTCACCCCATTCCCCGTGATGATCGTCACATCACCCCCATAGTAGGATACAACAGAGCGAGATACGCAGCGTGTGGATACACAGTGTGTGTGGATACGCAGTGCGCAAATACACGACATACAGGTACATGATGTGCAGATATACACAATGTTCAACAACCCAGCAACAAATTACATTTATACATATATTTCACGTCAGGAGGACGTCCCAAGGCTGGTTGGTAACATTTTGGATACATATACAAAATAAAACTTTTAGATAATATGTGCAGTTATGCAGTGAGCAGATACACGACGTGTGGATACAGTGTGCGCGGATATGGGGTGTGTGGATATGGGATGGTTGGATATGGGGTGTGTGGATATGGGACGGTCGGATATGGGGTGTGTGGATATGGGATGGTTGGATATGGAGTGTGTGGATATGGGATGGTTGGATATGGAGTGTGTGGATATGGGGTGTGTGGATATGGGATGGTTGGATATGGAGTGTGTGGATATGGGGTGTGTGGCTATGGGTGTGTGTGGATGTGGGGGTGTGTGGATATGGGGTGTGTGGATATGGGGTGTGTGGATATGGGGTTTGTGGTTATTGGGGTGAGCCACTGTGTGGTTCCTTTTAACGTTCGGAGTCCCTGACCCTTGTATAAATGTAGCTGTTGCCGTGCGGGTGAGCGAGCGCTGGTGACCGGACGCTCACTGACCTGTTGACGGTCAGCCCGGCATCGACCAGGGCAACCGTGAGCAGTAAACACACCGAGCCAGAGCCCCAGAGCCCTGGCAGCATGGTGCCAGCCGCGGCAGAGAGGGCGGAGGAGCCAGCAGGGAGAGAGGGAAGGGAAGGGAGAGAGAGTGGGAGAGAGAGATTCCGAGAGCGAACGAGGGAAAAGATCCTCGGCTCAATCAGACCGTCAGTTTGCCTGAGCTGAAGGAAAGCCGCTGTGTTTGTCCGGGAGGTTTCAGTGGAGCTCTCAAACCACAGCGGTGAAAATCACTGTCGGCTCAGTGAATGATTAACGTCTATGTCAACCCTAAACTGCTCAGCGCTTCCAAGTTTGTTGTGAAACTGACTTATATTATTACTTAACCAGATTATTTCTTAATACTGTAATATTAGTCCTAACAATGTTATAATGACGTGTTATCATTAGATCCGTACTGATATGATACATATTGTAAATTCTATTTTATAACGTAATAAATATTAATAAGATCGTCGTAATATTAATAACAGTGTAATAATAATCCTTGAGTTTGATACGCGGCACCTTATCACGTTGCTGAGACGGCTCGAAGCGCTTCACAGGATATATTGCAGAGCGTAGTGACTTTGTATTTTGTGGGCGAAACACGGCAGCCAATTGCGCACAGCAGTGACCCACAAACAGCCGTGGATTATTACCCCCGGAAAGCGATCCACCAATCAACTAACAAGCGGGTTCCTACTTACTGCTGGTAAGCGGAGGCGTGTGGAGTAAGGAAATCTGCCTATAAGAACGATATTAATAATTTATTAAACGTGGGGGACGTCGCTGCGTGAGAATTGGCTGCCGCGTTGGCTCATAAATACGCAGTCGCTGGATTTTGGAGTAAAATCTTGTGAAGTGCTTTGAAGGGAATGATACCAAATGCAGGAATTATATTTTATTACGATAATAAACTGATGGTTTGGAATAAAACTCCCAGGTGATAAGCCCTGCCATCCTGCACCAGGGTCAGGTGTGAGATAAATGTCTCACAGGGGCCAACAGTTTGTTCGCTGGAAGGAGGGGGGGATGCGGAGAGCTTCAAAACAGCTGCAGTTACAGCACATTGCCTGTAGGCCGTGCCCTCCGTTCACTTCCTTCACAGATAGAAACACACACAGGAACGATGATTAGAGTTCATAAGAAGAGATTATTATTATTATTATTATTATTATATCGACCTGACCCTTGTATAAATGCACGTCGTCGACTGTGCTTATGTTCCCCGTCTCCGGGTCAAATCACGCCATTGCTAAGGGCTCCCTGGCTGTCAACAAATCGTGTCAATGATAATAATAATCCTTGCACACAGCTTCTCATCACCCCGTGAAGACGTGTCAAAGCGCTTCACAGAATATCCTCTAAAGTGTATATTTTGTGGGCAACACGCGGCAGCCAATTGCGCACAACAGCGTCCCGCAAACAGTCGTAGATTGACGGACCCAATTATCATTATTTATTATCATTATTTTTTTTTGGAAGGGGTTATTATTGCTGGAAAGCAATCCACCAAGTTGACTAACAACCGGGTAAACGGAGGCGTGTGTGCGTGTGGAATAAGGAAAATTGCCTAAGGTTTCACCCTGCCCGGGAATCGAACCCTTTTGCTTGGGAGGCGAGTGACAGCAATTAAGCGAGACATTATTAACCCACTGCATCAAATAGAAAAGGGTTATTAATACACATTATTGTGCACTATTTTCTGTAACAAGCCCTAACTTGAGTTATGAACCCACAGGCTACTTCGGTGCTAGAGTATTAAGCTGAGACTTTAAGAGGCGGTGTGTGTTTAAGAGGCAATAGCAGGAATATTGTGTTGCTTGGACAGCGTTACCAACAGTGTGTTAAGTTGGTCTTCTAACAATCAGGATCAATTCAGTGTCAAACTGTGTGACGCCCACAAGGTGTTGTGTGTGAGTGAGACTGAGATGGGAGGAGAGAGAGAGAGAGAGAGAGAGCGAGGGCAATGGTTACAGCTTTCAATTGCTCTCTGGAGTCAAGGAAATAAAGACTGAGAGAAAGTTTAGACGCACAATTAACAACTGACTGACGAGCTGACCTGTCGCCCAGAGAGCGAGCGAGAAAGAAAGCAGGGGGTGGGAAACAAACACACAAACTTCTGACCATTTTTTTAAAGAGAAGCTTCCATCAAAGTAGAAGGGATTTTTTTTCCCCCCCAATGGAGTGAAAGAGACTGTGAACCGCGATGGTAAGTTGGCCATAAAAGTTTTAAATGTGACTTTTTATTGTGCTGTCAAGTTTTATTTTGTGTGTGTGAGTGCGTGTGTTAATTTTATATTGTTCTCATGTGGACTGAATGGCACTCTTCCCGTCCCCCACCCCACCCCCTCCCTCAGAAACAACTCTGTCCCAAATTTTGTAGAAAGTTGAACTGGTCCAAAGTATGGACTGACGCCTGAATGAGGCTGAGAGGTCTCAGCAGTTCTGGCTCAGGCTCCACCGGCTCCCCATCACCAAACCGATCGACTTCAAGATCCTCTCACTCTCGTGTTTAAATCCCTTCATTCCCTGGTACCTCCCTTCCTCTCCGACCCCCTCACTCCGCAGTCCGTCACCAACGCCTCCTGCTCATCCCTCGCGCCTTCCAACCCACCATCGGAGGTCGCGCTTTCAGCCACTACGCCCCGAACCTCTGGAACACTTTCCCTCAATCCCTCCGCCTTGCCCCCTCTCTCCCCTCTTTCAAGTCCCGGTTGAAAAGTTTCCTCTTCGACCGTGCTTACAGCCACCTCCCCACTCACCCCCACCCCACCCCTCGGCTCCGAGTCAGGCTCCGCCACTGTTAAGCGCTCTGAGACACTACCCTTCGTGGAGGGCGCTATATAAGTGCAAGTTGTTGTTGTTGAGAGCTCAGACCTGCCTGAATATTGTGCCAGCAAATGGCTAATAACGTGTTAAAGAGGTCATGACACCCAATGGATTACTTAGGCTGGCATTTGATTAGATAGACCGAGCTTTTTTTTAAACAAAAACAACAACCTACCTGTGTGTTTATACAGTCAACCTCACACAAGTCGTATCAGTCGGGACCATATATTTAATATGATTTATGCAACATATAAGTTATGTCGACTGTGCGCAATTGGCTGCCGCGTTTTGACCACAAAAATAATCAATTCACTTTACAGCAACAAGATTACATTTGTATAGCGCCTTTCACATCGGGAGGATACAAAAGGCGCAATGCCTTTACAGTGTATCCTGTGAAGCGCTTTGAGACATCTCAAAGAAACAATAAGGCACTAAGTCAAATACGAGGATTATTGTAACTAGAATATAAACTCTTGAACGGGACTTGGGAGCAGATGCACGACAGGCAGTTAAGCGATTTATACAGAGTTTTATTGTGTTGTCAGGCAGTGGGAATAACATAATAATTATCACAGTTGAAATCACTCCGTAGAGGTAGTTTCTAAGTGTTTTCAGTGATGGTCAGCCGGACCATCAACACTGAAACTTTACACAGGAATGGATGTCACTTTTCTTAATATGTTTAATTGTCTTTTAATTTAATTAATTGATGATTAATTAATTTAATTGGCTGCTGCATTTCGCCCAGAAATATACAGTCAATTCACTTTACAGTATATTCTGTGAGCTTTGAGACGTCTAGAAGTGCTATATCGAATGCAAGGATTATTATTATATTATTATTATGTTTGAGCTTCCTAAAATCCTAAAATAGCTGCTTTTTGCAGGAGGTTGATATTTTGTTCACCAGGTATTTTGTCAAGTCATTTCTGAACAACATATTGCCAGTTATTATTATTTTTATTATCATTATAATTATTATTACCAGTGACGTACAACAACCACAACCACAACCACAACAACAACTTGCATTAAATAATTCTCTTCGTGTCGGACAGCTTCTCGGAGCGCTTAAAAGTGGTGGAGTCTGACACCGAGCCGGTGGGGGGGGGTTGGGGGTGGGGAGCGATAAGGTGACCGTAAGCGCAGTCAAAGAGAAAGGTCTTCAGTCGTGATCTAAAAGAGGGGGAGGAGGGAGGGGGCAAGGCGGAGGGATTGAGTTCCAAACTTCGGAGCGCAGTGGCTGAATGTGCGGCCGCCGATGGCGGAGCGGAGGGGGATGAGGGACAAGCAGGAGGCCAGAGCCAGCCGAACGGAGGCAGCGTTTAGTGGAGTGGGGAGTAAGTGGGGCAGTTCGGTACTGGCAGCTTATGACGTCCTCACAGCAGTTCAGTAGCTGTTTCCCTGATAATGCTCCGTACCGAACGGCTTGTTCCAACAGCCGAAGTGACTGCTCTGTGCTGTGTCTCTGCCTTCTCTGTTCCTTTCTGTAGCTGAAGCTGATCTCGCTGACCGCCATTTATTCCTGCTGACCTCAAGGTGCCTTATCACCAGTGTCCTGGCCGACAATCCCACAAGTAAAATCGGCGGCTCGCTCCACGGCTGTTTGTGGGACGCCGCTGTGTGCAAACTGGCTGCCGCGTTTCACCCACAAAATACACAGTCACTGCACTTTACAGTGAAGCACTTTTGGGGGGTGGGGAGGGTGGGGGAGGGTGTATCAAATGCAAGGATTATTATCAGGCATCAGCCTGGTTCAGTCAGTACCGCTCTCACCTCTGATACCAGATAAAATCGGTCGCTCTTTGTCTTTTAATTTAACTAATTGAGGATTAATTAATTTAATTGGCTGCTGCATTTCGCCCAGAAATATACAGTCAATTCACAGGGCTGTTTGTAGGCAACAACAGTAACGACGACGACAACAACAACATTACATTACATTCATAAAGCTCCTCCCACGTGGGGAGGACGTCCCAAGACTTTGAACAGGACCTGAGCATGTTGGGGGGGGGGGAGATCAGAGTTGGGATGAGGGAGGGCAGCTGGGAGCGAGGGAGGGAGCGAGGCGAAGGGATTGCGGAATGGATTTCCAGAGAGTGGGGTCAGAGAGGCTTAAAGCCCGGCCGCTGATGGTGGGGCAGGTCGGTGGGTGGGGGTCATGGAGCAGGCTGGAGCCTGCTGAGAGGAGGGAGCGGGCAGGTTGATGGGAGTGTCAGAGATGTAGGAGGGGACAAGGCCATGGAGGGCCTTGAACGTGAGGGCAAAGATTTTGAACTCTATCCTCTGAGTGATGGGGAGCCAGTGGAGCCGGGCGAGGGTGGGGCTGATGGTGTCACGGAGTCGCTGTGCGCAAATTGGCTGCCGCGTTCACTTACAAACACAACAG